TTGATGAATAAAGCATTCAAAGAATGGTATTTATTTGAAATTGAAGTCTTTTGTAACCATTTAAATGTATTTAGTGTCACCTTTGATCAATTTGTTGACGGTGTTGCATATTGCATAAAAGTATTACTAACCCCAAACTTTTGAACTGCAGTGTACAGTATACATATCATGTATACTATCCTTCACATTTTTATTCCATAACAGTTACTGTTCCTAAAAAAGTATCAATTCTTACAATTAGGGATGCGCCGATCCGATATTCATATCGGGTATCGGCTCCGATAGCGCGTAAACAATGCTAGTACACATGGCAGCATCTGGAATTTAGTATGCACTCAAACAAGCAGTTAATCTATTGCGAGTATTTCAGACAGCATCACCAGGGACTGTAGAGATCTCTTGCGTGTTGTGAACCAGATGAGGATTTGTTGAAATTTGATGAATGAAACAACACATGGAAGCCCAGATGTTTCATTGGTTATATTATCCATAATTTGACTTCCTCCAAGACTTTAAAATACCTTCATAGTAGGGATGCGCCCCGATCCGATATTCATATCGGGTATCGCTCCGATAGTGTCATTTTTCTCGGATCGGGTATAGATTTTTTTTTTTTCGATTGTGCGAATTATTCTGTGTTACTTCTGAAGCCATACGATAGCTTAATGTGAGCTACATATGAATATTTAAGTCCTTACATTAAAGTTCACACAAACTCTTTTCTCCGCTGTGGCTGTCAGTCATTCGTTCAGCCTTTAAAGTTTAAACCCTGGTCGCGTTCGCTTACAGCAGCCAGCTCGGTAAAGCTCTCTCCAAGATCATTCTGTGTTCCCATTATACTTGATTTGTAAATTACATGTCTATGATTTATTTGTGTTTGTGTATTTGGCGTAATGTGTTTCTAGTGTGAAGGCGCACATAACTCGCCGTCGCTTTCTCTCACTGTGAGAAAAGAGCGAGAGTGAGCGAGAGTCTTAAATAACATGCAGAATTGATGCGCTGCTCATTAATCCTTAGTGCATTTTTATATTGTTCTTATTAGTAGAACTCGTATAATAATAATAACATTTCATCAGTATTATTGTTCGTTTTTTTTTACAGGAACACTGAATGACCAAAAAAAGCACCAGCACCGGTCCTAAGTTCATGGTTACCAAGTTTTAATTCTAATTACTAAACTTCTATTATTAAATAATACTTGATTATCATATTATAATGCTTGACTGACTAACATTAAGAGTGTACTTTCAGATATGTAAAAAGCTGTACCATTTTACAAACATTATATATGTTTGTAAAATGGCATAACTTTATTTATATATATATATATATATTGGAATTATCCACTAGCCTAGTTTGATAAATTTTTGTCATAGATTATAAATATACATAGGCCTATATTTTTTCATATTTGTTTATTTTATTTTATTTATAAGGAAGTAGTCTGTATCTAGTAGATTGTGAAAGAATGATTATCAGTTCCACACACCGAGATATATAAATTCTACATCTATTTAAATGAGGGGGAAAAACTTCACTGGTATCGGATCGGTATCGGCCGATACCGAACCCTAGGTATCGGAACCGGTATCGGAAGCAAAAAAGGCGGATCGGAGCATCCCTACTTACAATATGGTCAATTTTAAACCTAAATGTAATAAATGTTTCATCAATGTATTTTGGACAGATTTCTGAACCCTTGCGCTGTTGCTCTCCATCTGTGTTGGTGTTCTCCTGGGGTTGTGGGGGGGGGGGGGGGTTGTAGAAATGCATTTTTCATTAAGTTGTGTAATTGAAGATTCTACATGCACACACCCAACTAATCAGTAGTGACATTTGTTGTCGATTTTATTGATTAGGTGTTGCAGCCATAGTTTTGTGTGAATTTAATCACTGACCTGGAATGACAAAAGAAGTACTTCCCTGATATGGGCTTTTCAGTGACCGATGCAAAGGAGATACTGTTATTGGCCAGTAATGTAAAAATACCAGGTAGCTGATACATTGATCAGTCAGTGGTCAAAAGTGCAGAAAGCAGCAAGTCCAGAACTGTTGTGTGTTAGGTTTAAATAAACACAGAGGGTACCTCTGTTAGGTCATGCATTCCATGGAAGATTTCAGTTCACAAGTTCTCAAGTAGTTTATTTTCTCTCTCAGGAGCTTCAGCTAAGAGAGAGAGAGCTGTGTATGTTCATCCCTGCCGAGCTGATGTGAAACTGAGTTGTGTGCTTTCATAGCAGGCCAGACACATTGACCCAGCTGAAGGTCTCACTGGGGATGGTTACCTAAACCAGTGCAGAGAGGGACTCCCTGCTGTAGAGCTGGAGTAATCCAGTATTAACATAAAATCAGATCAGATCAAACAGTTTATCGTGAGAATAACCCAGAATCATCTTAACCCTTTCACTTTAAAGTGTTTTTACACAATAATGAACTCACTGAACCTCAAATGGCCATCATTACCCAAAATATTTCTTACATGTTTACCTGAGGGTTTTATAGTAACTGATATGTGACTTATCATGTGACAAGTCAACTGCTTACTCAGAGAGATTTTTGACCCATAAGGAATTTTTGTACTCTCTGTTGGTGACAGCTGTGGTTTAGTACTTTGATCAAGGAAGCAGTTCCTTATAAATCTTATATACTTAATAGAACTTGCACATTAATGATTCTTGGCAGATTTAAACATGTGGCTAATTTATGAACAAAGCCTAATAGACTAACAGTGTTTGTTGTGGAAGTGTAGGATTGTGGGTTGTTTTGTGAGTCTAGTCTTTCAAGGATCACTGCTGAGAGTCTTGTTTTAGTTTCGTCAGATGACACGTGTTTTTCAACCACATACAGACCACATTGCTTGAGCTTTGGTAGATGAAATATGAGTAATAATGTGCGTTAAGGAAACCTCCCTCTATTTCCTCCTTTTTTTTCACTCTGGATTCCACACACTCATGTAACAATATTCTCCTCACTGGCCTCTTTGTTTTAAGAGTTACTCTTAAATGCATCTCTACGCAAATGTGAAACTCCTAATTTAGGAGGCAATGCTCTTAAAATGTTCTTAGGATAAAGTGATGCAGGTATTTCAAGGCATGAGTCATTTTCCCAAGTCTGAGAGTCCTGAGATAGTGATTCATTGTCTGTCTGTCTGGACAGTATCAGCCAGACTTACTGTCATTGCGCTCTGTGTTTTGTCCCTCAGAGGGGAATATCGTGCAGTTACGTCTCTATGGTGTCAAAAGTATTTACAGTCAACAGAAACTTCACATGCCCCCTAACTGTAAATGTTTGAAGTAACGACCTATGAACTGTTATTATTATTGTGATTTAAGACCATGCTGACTTAATTAGTCTTGACTCTTGGTTCTCAGACTAAGGATCTTGGAAAGACATGACGCAGAATAATTATACAGGGATTCCTTAAAGTGATACTTCAACCAAAAATTTACCATTTACTCGCCCTCATGTCGTTCCAAACCTGTACGGCCTTCATTCTTGTGAAGAAAGCAAAAAAAGATACACTACTGTTCGAAGTTTTTATTAATACTTTTATTCAACAAGGACACATTGAATTGTTAGAAAAAAATCTTATTTGAATAAATGCTGTTCTGTTTAACCTTCTATTCATCAAAGAATCCTGAAAAAAGCAAGTTTCCAAAAAAGATAATGATAATTAAATAGTATAACTGTTTTGAGCATTGGTAATAAGAAATATTTCCTGAGCACCACATCATCATATTAGAATGATTTCTGAAGGATCATGTGAGACTGAAGAGTAATGACTGCAGGAAATTCAGCATTGCTATCACAGGAAAAACGACTTTTTTAGCATATATTAAAATTGAGAACTGTTAAAACTGTTTAATTTGTAGTAATGATTCACAGTATTACTATTTTTACTGCAAATACATAAATGCAAAACAAATAAATGAGGCCTTGGTGAACATAAGACACTTTTTCAAAGAACTGTTTTCATAGGCTGCGTTTACACTTGGCATTAACATGCGATCACCGTGATCTGATCAAGCAGATCGGATCATCAGTCAATCAGGACACGGCGCGTTTACACTTGGCAACATCAGCTGATTTCTCGATCTGGGTTACCGATCGGATCTGTATTTCCCGCGCAATATTTAAATAAGTTTGTGGTGCAAAGTCAACTTGAAGTGGTGGGTTTTCTTTTGAAAACGATTTCCAGTCGCGGGACATTTTACAAATCAAAATAAATGTACAAGTCTCACTAGCGCTCTGTTCTTCCGACAGATCGGGAGAGAGGGGGCGGCATTTTGCGTGATGTCGACCTGCGAATGCAGACACGATGGCTGGATTGCGTTTACATTACACTGAAATCCGATCACAATGTGTCCTCGAATACCTCTGGACCAGGACACGCTGATCGGGTAACATTCTGATCAGAAGCGCGTTTACACTTGTCTTTTCAATGTGTATGTGGACAACATCCGGATACAGGTCACATGCTAATGCCAAGTGTAAACGCAGCCATAGACTGTCTGGTCCAGTATTGTTTCCACCCCAGCATTCTTCTAAATATCTTCAAAGGTTGTGTACACTGGATGTGTTAAAGCAAACGTTCCAAATCCATTTGTCTTGTTATCAGAAGCTGCACAAGCATTTGGAACATCAGGTCATATTTACAAGCTCCAACAAATTCATCTGATGTACTGCTCTGCAGAACAAGCTTCACTGCTTTTTCTCTTTCCCACAAATATACACACAACCTCAGGTCTTTGAGCTGTGAGAGAGAACAATGTTTTCTACAAGTTTCTTTTCCTCTTTTTCTGTTCAGTATAGTACCCGTCTCCTTTTTTTGTGTGTGTGTGTGCATTTGTTTGTGTGTGTGTTGTGTGATATCGTTTGGTCAGTATAAAAGTACAAGAAGTCTATGAAAAGTCCCCACAATTCACAGAAACAAACGTATTTGTGTGTGTGTGTGTGTGTGTTTTCCTGAATAACTTTTTCACGCTTGCTTCATCCTTTAGTCACAGATGAAGACACTGTCAAGAGATACTATGCCAAGTTTGAGGAGAAGTTCTTCCAAACATGTGAGAAGGAGCTGGCCAAAATCAACACATTCTATTCAGGTAAGTGTGAACATTAGACTTGTTTAATGTGAAGCTCACAGTTTCTGTCTGCTTTAGTATTTAGTGACAGCCAAAGCCAGGACTGGCATTAAACCAGGACTGCTGTTATTTTTTTTATATCCCAATAAATAACCACCTGCTTTCTCTTTCTCTCACTCACACGGTTCTCTTACTCTAATTAGGCCCATGACCACTTGTTTATTGTCTAACCAATGGCTCGGAGATTATTCATATTCTTAATCAATTATGATTAATTTTTTTAAAGTTAACATAAAATATGGCTTTGTGGGTTAGCGTGATAAACCACACCACCGCAGTGGTACAGCAAAACATTTTTGCACATATTAATGTTTTTTGACATGAATATTTGGACATGAGAAAAGGACAAGGCTTTGTTTACAAAATAGAAAAATAGTTTGCAGTCAGGTGTTACATTGTGGCCATAGAAACATTTGGATTCGTGCCGAAGGAGAGAGTTGTATGATCCCATAAATTGGAATTAAATCATATGCGCTTTTGTGGACTGGACACTCAGACTGTTACAGGAAGCTGTGTAATATAACTTTTTTCATTCACTAAATGTCAGTCTATGTAACAAGTGATTTGTTGACAAATTAGACATTACTGGTCACACTGTGTGCAGGAGAAATATTTAATCTGTGTGCAGGTTTCAGTCTTTATTGCTCATCAAATTCAATATTATCACAGTTTGTGCTTGTTAGACCAGGTAACACATATAAAGTTTATTTATACGGAGCCCTGGACATGACATGACATTCACAATTAGACCAGAAATATGCATTCCATCTTTCCAGCTGCATCACATACTGATGATGTTTCCATTCTTTCGTGACACAGAGAAGCTTGCAGAAGCACAGCGGCGATTCGCCACGCTGCAGAATGAGCTGCAGTCTTCTCTGGATGCGCAGCGAGAGAGCAGTCGAGCCACGGGTCTGCGCCGCCGTCGCACTGTCTTCCACCTGTCACAGCAGGAGCGCTGTAAACATCGCAATATCAAAGACCTGCAGCTGGCCTTTAGCGAGTTCTACCTCAGCCTCATCCTGTTGCAGAACTACCAGGTCTGAAAGTATGCAAAACACTATTAGGCTACGATTTACAAGCCTTAGTGCTCAGTTCTGATTGATTGTCACATCTGATTTTTTGGATTGGCTGTTCATGTTGTTTTTTTGGTTGTTGTTTTTTTTTTATGGATTTGGGCCACTTTTGCCTCCAGTCTGAATGTAGCTTTAGATGTTTTAAAAGTGTTTGAATATTTAAACTTGTCATGACATTTGGTGGATTGGACATGTGCACGATAACGTTCTTATTCCCTCGGTTGTTGCTTTTTCAGTAATTCCCATTTGAGTATGATCCAGCTAAAATCAAACAGTTTTTTTTATTAATTTCCGATTGGCTGTTCTTTGAGATCAAACTCATTTAAAGTGTAAATGCTTTCTCTCTGTCAGAACCTAAACTTCACAGGCTTTCGGAAGATTTTAAAGAAACATGACAAGATTTTTGAGACCGCACGTGGCGCTGATTGGCGTGTGGCCCATGTTGAAGTGGCTCCTTTTTACACCTGTAAGAAGATCACTCAGCTCATCTCTGAAACCGAGGTACCATACACTCAAATGACTCTTTCCACTATAAGAATTTCAAAAACAAAAAAAAACTCTGCTTTAAAGAACAATTTCATTGTAACTGTCTGGTTGAACCAGCACAGTGGTTAGTTATTCTGACAGTATGTTCTCAAATCCCCAGGCCCTTGTTACCACAGAGTTGGAAGGAGGAGACCGACAGAAAGCAATGAAGAGGCTCCGAGTGCCCCCATTGGGAGCAGCACAAGTAGGACACTCTGTGACTTTTACTAAAACACCTTTCATTTGTACTGTTTAAAGGACATGAACATCTCACCATCCTGTGCTCTTTGTCTTAGCCTGCACCAGCATGGACCACTTTTAGAGTAGGACTCTACTGTGGTGTCTTTGTTGCTTTAACAGTCACAGTCATCATCACAGGTATATAACCTCTCATATGCCTTTTCAAAAACTGCTATTTTAATGAAGCTTTTAGTTACTTTATAAGGTCTAATATTTTGCCTGTCTCTAAAGTTCATTTACCAAATCAAAGATATATAACAATGTTAATGTAACCCTGCGATCAGAATCTTTATTAAGGATTTGGTTATTTTGACAATTATATGCTTTTTGCACAACTGCAGGTGTGGTTAATCTTGTTAGCGGAGAGGAGAAGAACGTTTGGCCCCTAGTGAGAATTTATCGGGGTGGTTTCCTGCTCATCGAGTTCCTTTTTTTATTGGGCATCAACACGTATGGATGGAGGCAGGCTGGAGTTAACCATGTCTTAATATTTGAGCTCAACCCACGCAATAACCTGTCCCACCAGCATCTCTTTGAGGTAATTAGAAATCTGTGACTGAGGTTCTGAACAATAAAATGAATGAAAAAAGAATGTTACTTTTTATTTTAATTCCATAAAAGGTCATTTCACAACTGCAAGAGATGGTTAAATATAATACTGTTGCTTCATTTTTAGTCCTTGATTCCATTTGACTTTTTGAATTTACAGATTTTTTTTTTTAAGTTTTTTTTTTTTAAAGAACAGCTGTATGAGTGTTTAAAGTAATCACAGATCCCTCTTTATTTTGACAGCTACTTTATACATTTAGAGATTTAGCAGTGCAGAGCTCCTGTCAAATTTCCTGCCAGGCTAAAAACAATGTAAAATAAAAATAACCAGATTTATACATGTATTTCTCTCTGTTTTTGTGCAGATTGCTGGATTCCTTGGAGTTCTTTGGTGTGTTAGTATTCTGTCCTGCCTCTTCGCTAATTACACAATGATCCCTATACAAGCGAACCCTCTAGCTCTCTATGGGTTCTTCTTCTTCTTCCTTATCAACCCTTTCAAAACGTGCTACTACAAATCTCGCTTCTGGCTACTCAAATTACTGGTAAGAGCCAGGAGAATTTCATAACACACAAGAGCATTTATCACACTTTTATGAGACATTAATATTTCATTTGAATGTCTTTGATTAAGTTCGTCATCTCCTCTTTTCTCCTGCTTTATTGTCCACCTTTTTCTTTTCATAGTTTCGAGTGGTCACAGCACCATTTCACAGAGTGGGGTTTGCTGATTTCTGGCTGGCTGACCAGCTCAACTCTCTAGTTGTGGTTCTGATGGACCTGGAGTACATGATCTGCTTCTACAGCATGGAATTGAACTGGTCCAAATCTGAGGGGGAGCTGTGGATTAAAGCGGGTATCCAGATGCACATTATTGTCTTTGCAGATTTAAAATGTTTTTTATGGGGCAGTTATTGATGACAGGTTTATGGGTTTTTTTCTTTCTTTTTTTTCCTTTAAAATCAGGTGGAGGGATATGTCACTCGTATTCATATGGAGTACGAGCTGTAATCCAGTGTTTGCCTGCCTGGTTCCGGTTTGTGCAGTGTCTGAGACGTTATCGGGACACAAAGCGTGCCTTCCCTCACCTAGCCAATGCTGGCAAATACTCCACTACCTTCTTTGTGGTCATCTTTTCTGCGCTCTATAAGACGCATGAAAGTAAGTACATGAGCTGTTACATTCTTTAACTAAACATCAGATGCTTTGGATACTGTTTGAAATTCTTTGTTTACCCAACATTAAATTTTTTGTTTCCATTCAAAACAAGTCTAAAAGACATTCTTTGTCAGGTATAACGTGGTTGATGATGTTGTTTACAAAGTAAAAGCGGACCACACACCGAACCTTGAGGAACACCATGCAGCTAAGCTTACAGTCCTGTGTTTTCAATTATCTCTAATGTTCTCTTATGTCACTTCCTCTCTGTTATCATTAGCTCTTCCAGAAGGTCAGGTCTTCCTTTACCTGCTAATTGCCTGCAAGATCATTAACTCATGCTACACCTTATTGTGGGACCTGAAGATGGATTGGGGTCTTTTTGACCGTAATGCAGGGGAGAACACCCTCCTCAGAGAGGAGATTGTATATCCACAGAAAGTAAGAATACACACACTGTTGGTTTTCATGTTTTACCATTACAATATTTTTTTAAAGAATAGTCCGTCCACTTCACGGCATTTACGCTGTCATTGTGTTGATTTGTGTGCTCTCTTGGAACAGGCTTACTACTACTGTGCCATAATAGAAGATGTGATCTTACGCTTTGCATGGACCATTCCACTTTCTCTTGGGGTTGTGACTACATTCCCAAACATTTCTGATATTTTAGCAACTGTCCTTGCACCACTGGAGGTCTTCAGGTAAGCACATCAGCATATATCCATACATTCATACAACCATTTCTACCCACAACCTGTGGTGAAAGAATGGTTTTCCCAAACAATTATAATATGTTGAAAATGTACTCACGCTTAAGCCACCCAAGATGTATGAGTTTGTTTCTTTGGCGGAAATTTGGAAAAATTTAGCATTACATCACTTGGTCACCAGTGAATCCTCTGCAGTGACCTTTTTGAAATGATGGACAGGTTTTTCATGTCAGCTGTTTTCTATTTTAGCGTTACAGAAGTACTTTATTGACCAGTCAGAAAACATGACTTAATCTGTTCATTCACTGTTTATATTTATCATGCCTCCATCCCCATCAATGTCTGCTAGAAGTAATTGCATATGAATTTTCAGCAGGACACAGTAAAGTAACCCATCCTTATAACCTGTTGTCTGTTTTAGGCGCTTTGTTTGGAACTTCTTCCGTCTGGAAAACGAGCATCTGAATAACTGTGGTGAGTTCAGAGCTGTGCGGGACATCTCGGTAGCGCCTCTAAATGCTGATGACCAGACGCTGCTGGAGCAGATGATGGACCAGGAGGATGGTGTCAGGAACAGACAGGGAAAGAAGAACTGGAAGAGAAGCTACAGCATGTCCTTGAGAAGACCACGCCTCTCCTCCCAGTACGCTCATCCTCACAGACACAAATCCAGACATAGAATACATAAGAATGAGATTTGTTCAGCAATATTGATTTAAATGAGTGGTTCTCAATCTTGTTGAATCCCCCCATTTGTCGACAACAATATTCAACGGCCGACATGCCTAGTTTCTGTTACATTTACCTTTCAGGAGTCCAGACGTTTTAGGAAATGGTTTTTAGGAATCCTAGTCTTTTTAACCAATGAATTCACCTGACTTTTCCAGTTACTTTTGATGTACTGGATAAGGGATTTTTAAAAATATTATTACTCCTTTCTATTTGATAAAAAGTTTTAGAGCTGACTGGAAAATGTATATTCCTTATAAAAATGCCTATGGAGTTTAAAGGTTTATTACTACATTTAAATTTGCATTTAGTCATTTAGCAGATGCTTTTATCCAATAGAAGTAATTGCATATGAATTTTCAGCAGGACACAGTAAAGTAACCCATCCTTATAACCTGTTGTCTGTTTTAGGCGCTTTGTTTGGAACTTCTTCCGTCTGGAAAACGAGCATCTGAATAACTGTGGTGAGTTCAGAGCTGTGCGGGACATCTCGGTAGCGCCTCTAAATGCTGATGACCAGACGCTGCTGGAGCAGATGATGGACCAGGAGGATGGTGTCAGGAACAGACAGGGAAAGAAGAACTGGAAGAGAAGCTACAGCATGTCCTTGAGAAGACCACGCCTCTCCTCCCAGTACGCTCATCCTCACAGACACAAATCCAGACATAGAATACATAAGAATGAGATTTGTTCAGCAATATTGATTTAAATGAGTGGTTCTCAATCTTGTTGAATCCCCCCATTTGTCGACAACAATATTCAACGGCCGACATGCCTAGTTTCTGTTACATTTACCTTTCAGGAGTCCAGACGTTTTAGGAAATGGTTTTTAGGAATCCTAGTCTTTTTAACCAATGAATTCACCTGACTTTTCCAGTTACTTTTGATGTACTGGATAAGGGATTTTTAAAAATATTATTACTCCTTTCTATTTGATAAAAAGTTTTAGAGCTGACTGGAAAATGTATATTCCTTATAAAAATGCCTATGGAGTTTAAAGGTTTATTACTACATTTAAATTTGCATTTAGTCATTTAGCAGATGCTTTTATCCAAAGCGACTTACAAATGAGGAAAATGGAAGCAATCAAAATCAACAAATTAAATCAAACTAGACATGACTTTTGCGGAAATCATACTTTTAAATTAAGCTACCTCATATAACCTGTGTTATCAAAGTGGAAGTGGTTTTTACAGTGGGAAAACACTGTAAAAAATGTTGAAGGGGTGAATTAAAAGATTATTTTATTAGCCAGGAGTTTTAGTTGTTTTAGATCATTTTAATGCTTGTTTTGTCTCATTTTAAATAATTTTAAGTTATCTTGAGGCCCCTTGAAAGTTTGCAGAGGCCCCTTAATGGGCCCCAGCCCCGTTTGAGAACCACTGGTTTAAATACAAGCTCGAAAAGCTTATTATCCTTGCAATTTCCTCTAGAAATGCTAATAAATATTAGTGGCACTAGCAAAGTCTTAGCTTTTTTACAAAGACCTCAACAGTTCTAGTGGCATTTTCCATAGAGAGGGTAAAAAATAGGTCTTGAAACCACAAAAAAAATTATTGCAAATTTATTTTTTGTTTTCTTTACAAAAAAACGGTCCACTTAACCATCCGAAAATTTGGGAATTTTTTTATTTTATTTCAATTTTGAAGTAATGAACATTTTCTGTTCAAAAAATGTAAATGGCTAACTTTAGAATGAGCGACAGGGTTACAGATTTAGCCATAAAAAATAGGTGTCAAGCAATTTCGGGCCAAATGTTGGTTTGTTGTTATTGACACAGTAAATGTGTATTTTGCTTAACTTGAGGAAAAAAAATGTCTGTCTTAAAACAACTTTGAAAATGAGGTTGAATTGTTGAGAAAATAATCACATTTTGGTGTGTTGACGTACATGAGTTAAGGTAAAAGTTTTTTTATATTAAATTTAAACAAGATTTAATAGTTTAGTAGTTCTCTCTTTATTAAAAAGACCATTGTTAATCAAGGGTTTATGCCTTTAATAAAAAAGTAACAGTACATCAGGGGCCCTGTTTGTGGAAAGTGCCCTGTAAGCCTCCAAGCGCCATCATACAAATGTCCTCATGAGATTTCATTGAGTTTGATGAAACTCAACAATTTCTTTTCTTTTTTTATTTTCAGGTCGAAGGTCCGAGACACCAAAGTCCTGATAGAGGACACCGATGACGACACCTGACCCTTGCGTCCACAGTGGCTTGAGAAATTGTTTTTTACAGGACCATAGACCTCAGTGAGCCTCGACTTCAAAAGCTATCCAATCAATCCATCACAAAGCTGCCTGACTACACACACACATATTTCACACCGAGACCTCACTGATTCACACACGCAACAGGAGCAGCCACTTCTTAGTTACTGTACTGTTTATGATTCCTTCGTTACTGCCTTGAACATTTTTGTGAAGATCCAGTATGTGGAAGAAACAAAAATTGAATTCAATGGACGGTGTATATATACGTCAGTTCACAAACCGCTTGATGGGACCATGCTCATATAAACTATGGACACGTCATCGCAGCAGTTGTGATCAATCAATCGGTTTAGATACTTTGTCTTTAAAGACTTTTATGATGAGGGTATGAAAACATTCATGTAGCAGACATATGGACTGATTTACCCTCATTCATGAAAAACAATTTTTTTCTTCAATGCACATTGTTATTTATGTGAAGGAGAGATGCCTTGAACGTTGCTTTAAAGGAAATCTTTTAAATATAGTAAGGATTTACCTTGGACCTTTACCCAGGACCTCTGCATGCTTTTGACCGACCCTCAGGTGGCTCTGAAGAAAAAATAATGATTTGATTAATATTTGTTGAAATACTTTGCCAGTTGGTTTAAACACAAACCACCAATGGTAGTTACCTGCTCTAAAATGCCAAATGAGAGTGTCTGCTTATGTTTGTTTCACATGTCTTAAAGTCAATCCAGGTTGAAGAGGTGCTGCATTGTAGACCCAGAGAGAAAAACGCCCTTAGTTTTAGAAGTGTCAGGCTCATGTTAGGAGCAAGCCAAATAGCAGAAGCATTCCTTGAGAACTTTTCCTTAGCTGTCATTTTGCTTCCTACATATGATCATCCTGAAACCCCATTTTGTTGTATCTTAAAGCTTGTTAAACACACACAAATCTTATTCAGCAATCACATTCCACTGAAGTAGCATTCCATGTCTGTGGTCTTGTTTTTATATTGAATTTTCAGCCAGTGTCTTCCAGTTTGACTAATTCTTAGACCACCTGAGGGTCTTCAGAGGTTCTGGGAGAAACGACACCTCCCTTTTCTTTTCAGCTAAATCTTTGGCTGACACACGAGCACAATGAGTTTCTATGTGTGAATCATTCGTAAAACTTGTTGCATAAGTCATCACATTCAATTCGGTGTGATAAATTATGTAAGGATGGGTTTCTGAACGATTATGCCCAGGTAGTTCTCATATGATGGTTTAATAATCCATTCCAATCAAAAATTTGTATTTGTACCTCTGAAAGCCTACCTGTCTGTGAATGAGATTGATGTAAGACAGGAGGTACTGCAGTCGCACATTCATGCAATACCCAAAAGACTCACCGGCTACACCTCTCATACTATGTCATGTACTACTGTCCCAAGTAAATGCTTGGACCAAAAATACAAAAAAAAAGGTTTCTCTGTTGAAGTTTTCTCATGGCATTTGTACTAATTTTTGATTGGCATTTGAGATTTATATTTCTGAAACAGAAAAATAGACAAGATCGTGTACTCCGCAGCTTCACTCGAGACGCACGATCAAGAAACTTCAAACTCGTGATTTCAAACTATGCTGCTATACTGTAATAGAATTACAGAATCAAGAAGTTGTCATCTAAAGTATAAGTATGTCTGACCTATCTATCTGTCTGTCTAGGCTTTATATCGGCCACTGGCCACCCTGCTCTGTAAGATATCGGCATCGGCTGTCAAAAAAAAAACAATAATGGTCAACCATTAGTTTGGTTACCTACATTCTTCAAAATATCATCTTTTGTGTTCAGCAGAAGAAACAACAAATTGAGGGTAAGTAAATGACAATTTTCATTTTTTGTTGAACTATCCCTGTAGCTACTATGTATTTAACCATTGGTTACAGTATACTTACGTACATACTTGGTCCATTTTAATTACATTTAAAGTACTTGAGTTGTAGTTACACGGTTGAGTGTACCCCGAACTGTAACCCATATAACCCTAATCCTAACCATACCTCACTTACATGTAGTTTCCCAGAAAATCCAGTCTTGTTAGGTATTTAATGTTAGTACCTAGTACTTAAGACCACCTAATATAAAGTGTGACCAAGATGTCTCTCCATTGAAAGTATATTCCACCAAAATTTGAAGCTTCAAAAACTTCATGAAGAGATCATAAAACTAATCCATAATTAATCCAAGCCTTCTGAAAAGACATGTTCTCTGAAGAAAAAATAATGATTTGATTAATATTTGTTGAAATACTTTGCCAGTTGGTTTAAACACAAACCACCAATGGTAGTTACCTGCTCTAAAATGCCAAATGAGAGTGTCTGCTTATGTTTGTTTCACATGTCTTAAAGTCAATCCAGGTTGAAGAGGTGCTGCATTGTAGACCCAGAGAGAAAAACGCCCTTAGTTTTAGAAGTGTCAGGCTCATGTTAGGAGCAAGCCAAATAGCAGAAGCATTCCTTGAGAACTTTTCCTTAGCTGTCATTTTGCTTCCTACATATGATCATCCTGAAACCCCATTTTGTTGTATCTTAAAGCTTGTTAAACACACACAAATCTTATTCAGCAATCACATTCCACTGAAGTAGCATTCCATGTCTGTGGTCTTGTTTTTATATTGAATTTTCAGCCAGTGTCTTCCAGTTTGACTAATTCTTAGACCACCTGAGGGTCTTCAGAGGTTCTGGGAGAAACGACACCTCCCTTTTCTTTTCAGCTAAATCTTTGGCTGACACACGAGCACAATGAGTTTCTATGTGTGAATCATTCGTAAAACTTGTTGCATAAGTCATCACATTCAATTCGGTGTGATAAATTATGTAAGGATGGGTTTCTGAACGATTATGCCCAGGTAGTTCTCATATGATGGTTTAATAATCCATTCCAATCAAAAATTTGTATTTGTACCTCTGAAAGCCTACCTGTCTGTGAATGAGATTGATGTAAGACAGGAGGTACTGCAGTCGCACATTCATGCAATACCCAAAAGACTCACCGGCTACACCTCTCATACTATGTCATGTACTACTGTCCCAAGTAAATGCTTGGACCAAAAATACAAAAAAAAAGGTTTCTCTGTTGAAGTTTTCTCATGGCATTTGTACTAATTTTTGATTGGCATTTAAGATTTATATTTCTGAAACAGAAAAATAGACAAGATCGTGTACTCCGCAGCTTCACTCGAGACGCACGATCAAGAAACTTCAAACTCGTGATTTCAAACTATGCTGCTATACTGTAATAGAATTACAGAATCAAGAAGTTGTCATCTAAAGTATAAGTATGTCTGACCTATCTATCTGTCTGTCTAGGCTTTATATCGGCCACTGGCCACCCTGCTCTGTAAGATATCGGCATCGGCTGTCAAAAAAAAAACAATAATGGTCAACCATTAGTTTGGTTACCTACATTCTTCAAAATATCATCTTTTGTGTTCCGCAGAAGAAACAACAAATTGAGGGTAAGTAAATGACAATTTTCATTTTTTGTTGAACTATCCCTGTAGCTACTATGTATTTAACCATTGGTTACAGTATACTTACGTACATACTTGGTCCATTTTAATTACATTTAAAGTACTTGAGTTGTAGTTACACGGTTGAGTGTACCCCGAACTGTAACCCATATAACCCTAATCCTAACCATACCTCACTTACATGTAGTTTCCCAGAAAATCCAGTCTTGTTAGGTATTTAATGTTAGTACCTAGTACTTAAGACCACCTAATATAAAGTGTGACCAAGATGTCTCTCCATTGAAAGTATATTCCACCAAAATTTGAAGCTTCAAAAACTTCATGAAGAGATCATAAAACTAATCCATAATTCGTAGTTTCCCAGAAAATCCAGTCTTGTTAGGTATTTAATGTTAGTACCTAGTACTTAAGACCACCTAATATAAAGTGTGACCAAGATGTCTCTCCATTGAAAGTATATTCCACCAAAATTTGAAGCTTCAAAAACTTCATGAAGAGATCATAAAACTAATCCATAATTAATCCAAGCCTTCTGAAAAGACATGTTCGCTTTACATGATAAACCGTTTTCATTTAAGCTTTTATGTATTAACTTTGATCAAATATAGTAAACGGTAGCTTAAACATGTCTGTTCTCACATGTAATTGTTTGAGTGTCAAGATCTTAAGCCTCAAAGCCTAAATTAAATCTGTTCATCATTAAGCAATTGCGTCTTTCAGTATTTAATGAATGTTATGATGCAAAAAGCAATACAGCTTGCCATAAAACCTTTATTCTCCTCACATTTTAGTTATCTATACATGTGTGGTCCATTTGTTCTTTTGACAGTTATATGGTCCTTTCTTCACAATGACATCCAGACACATTGGCACACAAGTGGTTTTAGATGAAGTGGCTGTCTGTCAGCTCAACAGAGGCTTGTGTGAATGAAGTCTCAGAGAAAGTCAGCAGACAATGAGACGCTACAGTGCAGATGTGTCCACGAGCCAGTCAGTGTCAGCCTCCGTCCTCAATAAATAAGGCATCAGAAAACCTACAGGTGATTTCAGACCATGCATGATGCACAGCAAGGCAAAAAATGGAAATGCGCAGCGCCTGCTCCTTAAAAGCATTTTCAATAACATACGATGAGTGTTTTGCGATGTCAAGTTACAGTAACAGTCTATAATCTGAATTAAGGGAACAAGAGAAAGAACTTAGTTGTTTTTCCTCACAGATGAATGTGAAAGCAGAAACGTGAGTGTTCACATGATAGACACGACACTGTTTTGCAGCTACGAGTAACCTAAAGACACTCCAGGAAGTAACAGACAGCGAGATCTGATTTCCAGAGCCGTGTTCATTTGAGCTCCAGGACCATGGAAGCTGGGTTCTCCAGGTAAGAGCGCCACAGGTTGGAGAAGCGGGACATGGTGGCACCGTCAATGACGCGATGATCGGCAGACCAGCTGACGACTATCCCTGTAGCTACTATGTATTTAACCATTGGTTACAGTATACTTACGTACATACTTGGTCCATTTTAATTACATTTAAAGTACTTGAGTTGTAGTTACACGGTTGAGTGTACCCCGAACTGTAACCCATATAACCCTAATCCTAACCATACCTCACTTACATGTAGTTTCCCAGAAAATCCAGTCTTGTTAGGTATTTAATGTTAGTACCTAGTACTTAAGACCACCTAATATAAAGTGTGACCAAGATGTCTCTCCATTGAAAGTATATTCCACCAAAATTTGAAGCTTCAAAAACTTCATGAAGAGATCATAAAACTAATCCATAATTAATCCAAGCCTTCTGAAAAGACATGTTCGCTTTACATGATAAACCGTTTTCATTTAAGCTTTTATGTATTAACTTTGATCAAATATAGTAAACGGTAGCTTAAACATGTCTGTTCTCACATGTAATTGTTTGAGTGTCAAGATCTTAAGCCTCAAAGCCTAAATTAAATCTGTTCATCATTAAGCAATTGCGTCTTTCAGTATTTAATGAATGTTATGATGCAAAAAGCAATACAGCTTGCCATAAAACCTTTATTCTCCTCACATTTTAGTTATCTATACATGTGTGGTCCATTTGTTCTTTTGACAGTTATATGGTCCTTTCTTCACAATGACATCCAGACACATTGGCACACAAGTGGTTTTAGATGAAGTGGCTGTCTGTCAGCTCAACAGAGGCTTGTGTGAATGAAGTCTCAGAGAAAGTCAGCAGACAATGAGACGCTACAGTGCAGATGTGTCCACGAGCCAGTCAGTGTCAGCCTCCGTCCTCAATAAATAAGGCATCAGAAAACCTACAGGTGATTTCAGACCATGCATGATGCACAGCAAGGCAAAAAATGGAAATGCGCAGCGCCTGCTCCTTAAAAGCATTTTCAATAACATACGATGAGTTAACATGCGATGTCAAGTTACAGTAACAGTCTATAATCTGAATTAAGGGAACAAGAGAAAGAACTTAAAGTTGTTTTTCCTCACAAATGAATGTGAAAGCAGAAACGTGAGTGTTCACATGATAGACATGACACTGTTTTGTAGCTACGAGTAACCTAAAGACACTCCAGGAAGTAACAGACAGCGAGATCTGATTTCCAGAGCCGTGTTCATTTGAGCTCCAGGACCATGGAAGCTGGGTTCTCCAGGTAAGAGCGCCACAGGTTGGAGAAGCGGGACATGGTGGCACCGTCAATGACGCGATGATCGGCAGACCAGCTGACGTTCATGATGTACACCTTCACTACCTCATCACAGGAGTTAAACCTGGGCAGCACCTGCGATAAAGCAGAGAAACGTCTTTTAGCTTAAAGGTGTGGAATGAGCAAAATTTCTGTGAAAATCTGCAGGCAAAAAAGGTCCATTGTTTAAGTTCAAGAGTGTAGCGATTGTATGAAGCACAGCTCACAGAAGTCACTTTCAAAACAAGCTGCTTGCTGTTGATAAAAACTTTCACAACCACATGGAGTCCTAATGAAATCCTAGTGAAATTTGTTAAGAAAGGTGAAATTCTTTTAAAAGTTCTTAAACTCATGAACTGTATTCATGTTAGTTTCATACAATTCTGATAACTATTACAAGAAATGTGGCAATTTAATGAGTCTAAAATGTCATGTGGTGTAACCATGAAGTAAAAAAGTAATTATGTATTTTAATAAAACCTTAAATACATGGTAGTGTACATACTGTAGTAAAAAAAAATATATATATATATATAATGCATTTATCAGTCGCACCACATGACATTTTACAACCTGAGCTAATCTCACCTTGTCATAAAGATCAAATTATCTGATATTTTAAAGAGACTTTTTGACCTTAGAGTCCACTCTGATATAATTTTCTGTTTATGTGTTCATTTATGCATGATGGTTGCATCACATGACTTTAATTTAGTGGAAAAAAAATATAATATTAAAATGCTGCAAAGCCACATTGTAATTTAAAGAATAAAATAATTACTTATATAGATTATGCCAAACTAACCTTTTTTTTCATGACATCAGCACAGTTGCATCCCCCTTTATTTGAGTTTTTTACGAGTTTATGCCCAGTCAAAAAATAAAATAAAAATTGTTCTGAAAATGCTCATAAACAGGTATGTTAGAATTACAGTATGTATGAGCTCCATTTTACTGTATTTTTTAATAAATAGATGGGACAAAAAGTGAGTATTTCACTTACTCTTTAAGATACTGTTGATATGCTGGGCATATACGCATTATTATAATGACAGCCTACACTAAAGAATACAAATTCAACTTATTTATCGTAGATCCAATAATTCAATATAATCACCTCCTTAAATACAAATACATTTTTTATTAAATGGTGAAGAAAACAAGCAGCTCACCTGGATCTTTCCCAAAGCTCCAATGGCCACCTCCGGAGGCAGAATCACCGGCTTGGCATACGTCCCTCCAATCTAAACAAAAAACGACTGTTTTAATTCCCTTACGATGAGAGATCTGATCATCGCTAGACAGCAAATAGAAGCCCATTGAAAGCCTGCTGTTGTTTGAGTGCTTAGCTCATAAAAGAAGCTCTTGGACTCTCATATACCTTCAAAAATGACAGCATAATGATCATGAGGCCCAAAACAAGGTGATACAGCGTTCCAGACCAAATACAGCGTGTCATTTATGCACCACTAGTGGTGTTAAAAAAAGAACTGCAATCTGTTCGAGCATCGAATGACGTTATGAAATGTTTTCAGAAACCCGTTTAGTCACAGTTATTGTTGCAATTCAATTTGGTGGCACTAGAGCTGTAAAAACTGCACACTTGGGAATCTGCATCCAAAGTCTAAAACCAGGCGGGTGGAGTCTCACCGAGCCGATGTTGGAGAGTGTGAAAGTTCCTCCAGTGAGGTCAGCGGTGCCCAGCTGTCCGGCTGAACCCAGAGCCTGCAGACGGTTGAGCTCCACAGCAATGTCAAAAACACTGAGGGCCTGAACGCTCTTCACATTGGGCACCAGGAGGCCCTGAGGAGTGTCCATCGCCAAGCCGATGTTATGAGACGCCTGACAACAATGAAAATGTTACTCATGTTGGGCTGTTTAGGACTTTTAAGCAAACCGTGGCCTCAAAATGAAAGGCTGTGATGTGACTGAAGTGTTTTGGGGCTGGTCTTGCCTTGAATGTGACGTTCTGGCAGCCTTCATCCACAAAGGCATTGAGAGCAGGAAACTGCAAGAGCCCGAGTGACGTGGCCTGAACAAAACAGTAAAAATACAAGCTATAATTATATGATTTTAGCAAATGGCTGCAATATAACAAAGAGTGAAAAATTTCATGCATGGTGCTGGGTATTTTTCTAATTGTTTAAGCAACTTTATTCATTATATATGGTTAATAAACATTATTTTAAACATTATGCACATTTTTTTCCCCAAAGATAGTCCTGTTATTTTATTACGCTTTGAAGAAACGTGCATAATATTTTGCGCTATGCGCCCTCTTGTGGCCTCAGGAGAGAAGCCAAAAGCTTTTTTTCCCCTAACTGAAATTATGCCTTTTAAATTCGAATATAATTCGAATTTTGATCATATTTAAGTCAAAAATTCAAATTTAGTTTTTCATAATTTTGACAGCCCTAGTCACCATTTAAAAAAAGGGGGATATCTTTTTAAAGTTGAGTTAGAAACATGCAGCAAGGACGATAACTATAAAGTTTTAATATTCATTCTAATTCTGTAAGAGTAGTGACATCAACACCACAATTATGACAACAACAACAACACAGAGAAACGACAACACTGGAATCACTTTCAGAATGATTTTGTCTGTTTGATGAACAATAAAAACATTGACAGCCAATCAGAATACACATGGCTTCCAAGAGTTTGAGTATTTGCAGACAAAACTGCAGCACACAATTATATAAACTGAGCATTATTTTGCTTTGCTGTGAATGCTAATTTAGCATTAGTTATCATTCTTGGAGTGAACGGATCTTAAATATCTTAAGGCAACAGATGGCAAAACTGAAACGCATACATAAATATTTGAGCATTGCTGTGGAGACTAATATAGTTATCGATATATTTATCTTAGAATTACCCTTTATACAGATACTTTTTGTATTCATGTTTGTTTCATTAGGTTTTATAAAACCTGATGACTCTGAAAACGTCATATGGTGCAACCCAGTAAAAACATTTTTCTCACATCGAATATATGTATAATTGTACACATTATCATTTTCAAAAAAATGTATTAATATATTTTGCAAAGTATTGAAAATCATGAACTGTTAATTCCTAAATATCATTAAAAAAAATTGGGAGTCGCACCACATGACTTTTAAGAAATAACTACTTAATAAGGTTGTCTTTTTTTTAATACCTCCCCACATAAAATTTCAATATTAAAAAATAATTTAAATCCAGAAATTAAAAATATGCTAATCACCGTGTTTTTAGTTATTGTATGCACGACCCATGTACAACAACCTAAACACTCACCGTTCAGAGGCTCTGTCCTGTCTTTCCAGGTGAAGACGGGTCTCGGGATCGCCGGAGGAGCCATGATGGGCGTCTTTTCTTTGGGTGGGGTATCTGCAGTGGGTGATGGGGTTTTCTGGACTTCATACGGGAGGATAGCTCCTGTCTGCTTGGCTAAGAAATTGATAATGTCTTCTTTCAAAATACGGCCGTCTTTTCCTGTCCCGACCACCTCACTTAGTTTAATCTAGTAGAGGACAGATTTAGAGATCAGAAATGACCAAGAACACGATAAAGCCACAATGACAGGGTGTTGTAGGTGGTTACAGCCTGATGCAATTCAAAATTACATTGTTCTCCATGGCCAGACGGCGCACCGCTGGTGTCGCCTGGGTTTTTTGGCCCTTGATTTCCTGATGTGATTGCTCATGGGATATTGCTGGAGTCTCTACCACATCTTCCTCTGGGGCGCCCTCTGCAGGACAACAGGCCAAACTATTTTACTACACAATGACAGAACTGGAAGGACATTTCAAAGTCAGTATCAAGAAGACGATCCACAGCAGTGACTGACCCAGCGCTTTGTCCGTTTCGATGTCCACAAGAGGTGAACCAACATGTGCGATAGCATCTACGTCATAATACAGTTTACGGATGATGCCGTCATAACGGCTCGTGATGGTGACAGATGCTTTGTCGCTCTGGACTTCACAAATGCTGTCAAACTGTGAGACTCTGTCCCCTTCTTTGACATACCTGCACAAAGACAGAGAAGCAAAACAACAGCATACATTTTTTTGGAATATTTACTCGGTATATTATATGGGTCAATCAGTAAAATAAACCTTTACTACTATTTTCTGATTCCAATGCTAATTGACAAAAGTCCTCATATTTTGCACCTATAATGATTAAGCTGTAACACTATAACAAAACTGAAACTAGTTTATTTTTACGCGATGAAAATGCGAGTGCTGACAATGCTGGTGGTGTGTTTAAGTCGGCATGAAATGAAAATTCACGTTATAAGTTATCGATCTTGTTATATAGACCTGTAAACAATTCATCCACACGTTTATTTATTTATTTTTAATGTACCTCTTTTTATGTTTAATCAAAAAGGTCATAACTGGACATATGCAGATGCTTAAACCCAACCCCACAAACTCACGTTCATCTGTTTTTATTATGTTTTAGTTATTTTAAACTAAACAAAAAAGAGAAATGTTGTCTTTGCAGTTAGCTGAAATAACTGTTCATGGTTTTAGTTAACAGTAATAAACCTGTCACAAAAATGTCACAAATATCTGTTGCTACTTCCATTTCATTCTGACTTTAAAAATATTATAATATTATGTAATATTTAGTGCGGTCAACTGATTAATCGCATCCAAAATAAATGTTTTTGTTTACATAATATAAGTCTGTGTTCTGTGTATATATTTTTCTTAAATATATACATACATGCATGTGTGTGTGTGTGTATATACATACATATATATATATATATATACACATATACATACACGCACATATGCATGTATACATTTAAGAAAAATATGTTTATATATTAAATATATTTATATAAAACATAAGAATATAAATATATATACACATGTAAATATTTTCAAAATATGTGTATTTAAATATAAATAATAAATATACACAGTACACACACATTATGTAAACAAACTTTTATTTTGGATGCGATTAATCGTGATTAATTGTTTGACAGCACTATGAATATCAATGGGACATGAAACTGCCTGCTTATCAACATTCTTCTTTTGTGTTCATCAGAAGAAACAAACGACATAAGGCTAGGGCTGCCCGATAAATCGAAATGGAATCGAGATCGCGATTCGACAGAAGCTGCGATTGTCTTGCGTATCTTTCAGTGGAGCACGGTTCTGTGATCAGCAGTAAATCTCCATGCAAAGGCCAGAGGGCGCTCTCGCGCTGAAACTCCAAATACGCCTCGCAGAAGCTGATTTCAACTTCAACTGCTTTCATTGATTCAAAGTGACTAATAAACACACGACTACGGCAATATACGGTTTATCGGAGTTCTTATTATTATACATTTCATTAAAATAAAGTACATTTATAATGCAATGCCTTTATCACTGCTTAAATACTATGAAATATGTTGCGTGCCTTATTCTGTGTAAGAAGCCACATCATCTCACAGAAGGATTTATTTCAAACACTCGACTGACGTTATGAAGTGAGTTTGGAGTAAAAATATGTTATTAAATGTGGTATTTTCACATGCTTTCAGATGGAGCAGCATTTACTTCACAGAGCCGTAGTTCACTGAGAAGCTCTGCAAACCGCTGTCGTTATCGCGAACGATTTCAGAATCGCGCAATAAAATCGTCTGCGATTTGTTTTTTTGCGTAACTTGTCAGTGAACTACGGCTGTGTGTAGTAAATGCCGCTCCATCTGAATGCACGTGATGATGATTTCCTGCTGATTACAGAACCGGCTTTTTAAAGAAAACGCGCATGACAACCGCATTGGATTAATCGCGCAGCCCTACATAAGGGTACGTAAATTATGTCAAAACGTTCAATTCCGGGTGAACTTCCCCTTTAAAAATCTGTTGCAGCATTTTACAAGAGCTTACCACTCTTTTACGGTCACTTCCATTATGCCCTCTCCAATGTCTGAGAGTTTGAACGGCAGCACCTGTCCAGAGGCCACTGGAAGTACAAACAAATGTATACTGCAGTCCAGTTTATTAAGACAGCAATTACATACACACAGAAAAATCAGGGCTACTAATGTGTTGTACAAGCCAATATGCCTGTTTGAACATTTCCCGCTTGCAGCACATACCATGGCTGCATCTGAAGCCCCTCCAGTGGACTGAAGTGAGGGGTGTGGAGATGTGAAATACAGGGGTCGGTCCAAGAGCCTGGAGCCTGGGACACTGCTGGAGGCGATGGGATACAACCCGAGGCTGTGATGCACACAAGCAAGACCATTCAAACTCTCTGCTCATGCCAATTACTGCTTGAACTAATACATAAACCCAGGTTTTCAACCAGAGATCAGTGAAAAATATATATACAAGACACAGAAATTTATTTTTTGAAATTGCATAACATTTCATGACACTAGGTCTGTTTTGTTTGAATAGTGTATGCAGTAACTTAGCTGACTTTAACAGAGGACTGGACTGAGCACCTCAGCAGTTCATTATTATATAATAAGGTTTGCATGTTCGCTAAAAAGATTTGACAAGGTAACTCTGACACTGATGTATATGTGATATCCTTTTAAAGATAGCACGAACAATGGTTTATAAACTCACCAGACGTCTCAGTATTCTCAGAGAACACCGCACTGGTGTCACCGCCGCCATGTTTGCCCAAGACTCTCGCAAGAGATGATAAACGCAGGAGATCTCTCGCTCTACATCAACATCCTGGAACCCCGCGATATGAATAACCAGCTCACTGAGCACATAACAACCGTTTGTAATACAAAAACAACCATACTGTAATGCTGCAACCACTTATTATTTAACAGAAAATGTTTTCGTGGAGAAAAACTGAAGCATGACTTCCTGTAATCGCGAACCCGAAGCGATGTTGAGTTGATCATCCCTCTTCTTTGAATTCTCTTTTTTGGTTACGCTCTGCTGACGTAATGCTCACGCCTACCTTGACCAGCCAATGGGCGTTTAGTTCTCTGAAGCATGTAAAAACGGGTTGGCTATAAGTTAAAAATCAAATATTTTGTGCTGTCATTACAATGTTAACGACATAAGATTTTCATGGTTTTTTTTATTATTGTTATTTAACTACCTTAAATGTGTAATTCTGTTGCCGAATGAAACGTGAAAGTCAATCAAATATGTTTACAGACTCTTGTGATAAAAATACTTTAAAATAGAATACTTCAAAAGAATATACTGTGCCAGCTAACTTGACAACATTACAATGCACATTTAAAAAGCGTACCTGTGTTAACAAACATAGTTATAAAAGTGTACTCTCTCTTTAAGTACAAGTGGCCTTTTAGTTCATTAGTATTATATTATTTGCAAGTACGGTTTTTTAAAATATACTTTTAAGATTTGAAGTTCACTACAAGTGCACATTCAGTACATATGTAATAGTAATAAAGCACAAGGGTTAAAATCCTTTTTTTTTTTAAAACAGGAAATTCATGATGGAACCCACCTTGATTAGGATTTCTGGGTTTATGTCATGTTTGAAATAATTAAAAATGAATTGTTTTATACCAATTTGATATCATATAAATTGCAGTTGCTTCAGACATCGGTCTGGTTCCATTGTAAGGCTGAGGTCACGTGACCTCAGTCTTTGTCACTCACAGTTCAGCAGTCATTCCTCTGATGGTGAGATTAGCACAGCGGCCTTGACCCTGAACTTCTTTTCCACAAAACCTTTAAGCTGCTGCTTAATTGGCTGATTCAAATGAATGGGATCTATCTATCTATCTATCTATCATCTGTCTGTCTGTCTGTCTATCACCTATCTGTCTATCTATCTATCTATCTATCTATCTATCATCGGTCTGTCTGTCTGTCTATCTATCTATCTATCTATCATCTATCTGTTTGTCTATCTATCTATCGATCGATCGATCTATCTATCTATACTCCATGTATCAATCCAATCTGTCTCAATCCACTTTAAATCATAAGTACTGGACACACTGTATGTTTGTACATGTCGGTCTGCATGATACAGTTTTTCTCAGTCGCTTTGGTGCATTTCTCGACTCATCCTTAATATTTGCAAAGAAGTATGCATTTCTCAAAACAATTCATACAAACAGCATCACACAATGGATTACCTGCAAAAGCCTGTAACTTACTCAAAATCTTTAGTTAATCTCTCAAAAGTAAGTATTTATGTCAATGAACATACCAGTGGCATCAGAATGAAAAGCCCTTGTCTCGTTGTTCACAAACAAGATAGTCAAAATGCTTAGTCATGTTGTCAATATAACAGTGCATTCTGTTAGTATTACCTGATGTAAACTATGGCAGCAGTTTGGATGACAGTTACTGTATTGAAATGCAGAAGGTTGTACTTTTTATGTATGCCACATATCCATTTCAAAAGTTCAAATTTACACATTACTGTATGTGGGATATTGATTGAAAGAGACTAGATTGGATTCACAGTTACACTATACTAGTGGTCTGACAAAAACAAAACATTATAACGTCATTGTGATATAGAAAATAAATATGGGCACAAAGGCGAAAATAGAAAATTAGAAAGGCAAATACAGGAAACACTCCTTAGGCAGAACTTTGCTTTTGCATGCTGCACTGTATGAGGAATTGCACTGCACCTCCTGACGTGCCAATTCTCATCTACATCACGACGAATATCTTCCCTTTCAATGCAATGTGGAACTGGAGTCAAGTGAACCATCTCACAACTTCATGTATGTGGATGAGGCTGGCTTCAACCTGACCAAAAGCAGAAGGCATGGTTGAAATGTCATCGGCCACAGAGCTACTGTTGATTTACCGGGCTAACGGGAATTCGTAACTCTTGTGTTGTCCTCCGTCTATATATGCTTTCCAATTGAAGGTTCATGAGATGCACCTTTGAGCTATTTCTGAGAACTGGGTTATCATTAGCTGATCTACATTCTCTTCTTTAGTGAAAGTCAACATTCAACTCCTCAATTCATGGCAAACTTACACAAAGTCCAATAGAAATGCGTAGAAAATATGCTTGAGAGTTTATGACAACAGATCAACCATTTTGCATTTAATGACTTATACGATGAACTAATGCCGAGATGTTTTGGAGGGTAAGACTTTTGCACAGAGAACTATATAGTACATTACATGACTGCAGATAAATGTACACAATCAATTGCATGAATAAAGCAATCGCAACTTGTTCAAAAGAATGAGAAACTGCTTTTATGATGTGCACAATTGACTAGATGATGTGGAGGTTGAACAAGTATGTTTCAGAATTTCATTTCTGATCTCAGAAATGCACCAAAACGACTGAGAAAAACTGTAAATGAAGCTGATATGTGCTCAGATGCACAAGCAGAGGGATGCCGGTGTTTTTAGGCTGTAGCTGTATGTGAGCTGACTCAAGCCTGATCATATTAAGAGTTTTAGAGCTGAAGCACGTCAGCTGCACGTGTGGCCGCTGATGCCACAGCAAACACTGACACAGTCATTTAAAACAATAAAAAAAAAATCCTTAAATGTTTCATTTCACAGTATGGCAGTGATAAGTGATAGCAATGCCTGACTAACTGCATAATAACAAATATTCACCACACATAATCCTGCATCATGAATAATCCAATCACTAGTTTAAGCTACATAAATGTTTATGACCCACTTTAAAATAGACTGTAATGTTAACTTTAACAATGAAGCATATGCTTACAAAGACCAAAAGTATCAATCTATCTATTGACCAGTCTATGGCACAAACACTTATGCAAAATACAAATAATTTCACAGGTAGCCTAATAAACATTTTTTGGGTAATGTGCATACTTTTCAACAACGTTGGTTGCAAAAAGATTTATTTCTGACCATTTCTGTCGCTGGATGTGTAACTACGGGGACCGAGAAGTGCAAAACAAATCACAATTCTGAAAACAAAATAACAAATTTCAAATGCAAAGCATATTGCTAAAAATACTGCTATTTTCACTTAGTGTAAATAGAATCCATTGCTAATACGAGATTTGAAAAGGGAGGAAAAAAAAGTTCGGCAAAAGGCGGGATCGAACCCGGGTCGATCGCGTCAAAAAGGCAACGAAACGTGCTTATCCAGCTGCGCCACTGGAGCTAATGTTTTACAGCCACTTTTAATTAAATCTAAATAGACACCCCGCATTTTTTATTCCATAGTAAGCGCAATTCATACAATACATTTAAACTGAGCTACTTTAATACCATCTCCGAACTTTGTACCACGACTCTGCTGTTCTTCGGCTGTTTCTTCCTGTATACGTTGATTGACAGATGTCTCGTCCAGTCAGCGGTGAGTAATCCCAAACCAATCGCGCTGTCTCAAACTATGCCTGCCTCTTCCGGTTTGTCTGATTTGTTGTTGTGTTTTCTGACTTGTTCATTTGTTTTCGGATTTGTCGTTGTGTTTTCTGAATTGTTGTTGTGCTTTCTGAATTGTTATTTTGTTTTTTAGACTTGCATTTGCGTTTGTAATTTGTTATTTTGTTTTCAGAATTGTGATTTGTCTTGCACTTCACGGCCACCGTATGTAACACAAGTAATCCAAAATATCATCGCAGGCACTGCGTCTCGAAATCTGATTGGTCGAATTTAGCCCCTCCTTAGCAACGCGCATTTGTGTGGTGGTGTGGCACGTGGTTACTAGGCAATGTCCCTTTAACTTTTACCCTGAAGTTTTTAGCGATGGAACAACGTGCACGGAAACTCTAGCACACTATAATTGCAAAAGATAAAGGAAAACTGAAGGACACGAACGTCCGTGAGATTCAGCTGTTGGAAATGATCATGTTTTTAAGTCACTTTGAGCTTGGAAGAGATTTAGAGGATTTGCCGTCTATATTCGACACAAGAGAGCTTATGGGGACACAGAAGTGGGTTATAGCAAGACTGTGTTTACTTCTGTGTAAATAACGGATTTACTTTTAAATACATTTAATTTCAAACTTCAGGAACATAACAAAACCCTTTGGAACGAAACGCGTGGCAATAATATTTTAACGTCCTAAAGGTTCAGTATTGAATAAAATGGGAGATGACAATGAGCTGCTCGGAGCATCTGAGTTTATCAAAGGTAATATTAAATAAGTTGAAAAATAGTTTCGTTTATATAAAATAAAGGTTGAAAGGCAACCTATTTTCTAATCTGCTTAATCCATGTGTAAATGTCTTATTACATCAATATCCTAGCATATGCTGCACTCTGTAATACATATTAAAACTATCTTAACAGATCGTGTACATTCAGATATCAATGGAATAAAATACAGTATATGGTTTAAAGTGGCTTGCCATTTTGTGATGTTAATGTAATACATTTGTTAATGTTGTTACAACTGAAATTAATTGTACCTTATATTTATCTTCAGAATGTAGTCCAATTATTTAAAATAGAGAAGACTGTGTTTCCAGATATAAGAGATTTAGATGTGATTTACCATCATTTAGCTATTTTATGACTCGGATCTGTAAACTGTTGTATTTCTTTCAGATCGTCTGTATTTTGCTACTCTTAGAAGCAAACCCAAAAGCACAGCAAACACACATTTCTTCTGCACCGATGATGAATTTATTTATGAAAAGTGAGTCCTCGGGTTTTGGCACACTTAACTATTCATATTTGAATGTTATACTTCATGACAAGTGGTGATTTTATGGTTCATTTCTGTCACAAGCTTTTATGCAGATTTTGGGCCCCTCAATCTGGCAGTGCTGTACAGATACTGCTGCAAACTGAACAAAAAACTAAAGGTAAGTTCATCTTCTTTGAATCGAATGGCTCCGTGCTTGCATTGTTCATCTAACTTACTGATCAAACATATTCATTTTTATCTTTTCGTCTGTATTTTGCTACTCTTAGAAGCAAACCCAAAAGCACAGCAAACACACATTTCTTCTGCACCGATGATGAATTTATTTATGAAAAGTGAGTCCTCGGGTTTTGGCACACTTAACTATTCATATTTGAATGTTATACTTCATGACAAGTGGTGATTTTATGGTTCATTTCTGTCACAAGCTTTTATGCAGATTTTGGGCCCCTCAATCTGGCAGTGCTGTACAGATACTGCTGCAAACTGAACAAAAAACTAAAGGTAAGTTCATCTTCTTTGAATCGAATGGCTCCGTGTTTGCATTGTTCATCTAACTTACTGATCAAACATATTCATTTTTATCTTTGAATTAGTAAAAAGTAGTAAAAGTAATTTGGTTGCCTACAAACAAAACCAACAAAAGTGATTTGCTGAACCAAGTTTTAGTTTTCCAAACGTCAAGGCAAAATCCCATGGTGAAGCACTTTGATATACATATGAATATATAAGAATATATGAATCTTAGATGACAGATATTTGAAAATACCTTTTCATGGAAAATCCTTTGCAAATATAGGTAGGTTAAATCCGGGCCCAGCATTACAAAGTGAATGAAAATGACCCTTAATGGTTCAGTTTTGTAAAACCTTAATATGTGCTCACAACTTTCCACCATCAGCAGCCGTAGTCTTCATATTTATAATGCTCAAGTGTAGAGATTTGTTTGCTAGACTGTATAATGAGGCACAGAGTTCATGCAGTGAGCAGTAGAGAGCGCTCTGTACACGTCTGTATAATGCCGGGACAGAAGTTTTTGGCATGAATGATTGAACTTCAATGACTGTCTGTGTCTGGAGCTGACAGATAAAGGGGTATGGCTCATGTTCAATGTGTTTCTCTGCAGTGTATATGTGTCTTTATAATGTGAAGTGAGCTGAAAAAGTATGTGAATATCTACACTCTAAGAAAAGTCTGTGAAAGGTCCAGTGTACTGTTTTCTGGATACTTTATTTCGAATTATGTATTGCTTTGTGTTGTGGAAAATTTAAGGAAATGTCCATTAATTGAACAGAAAAGCTGCTGGTAATTTTGTTCTTGGACAAGGTTCAGGTGCTAGGTTTTTCTACAACTCTTGTCTTCCAGTGTAAGCCACACAGAAAACGTCACGTAAAAGTTTTTTATTACAAGTTTATTGAGTTATAGTAATGGTACAAATTATGGTAGAGCTTTTCTCAGAACTAAAATAACTTGTCTTGTTTAAGTTTGAACCAATTAGCGGTTTGGTGATTTTTAGTTTATGATCTGCTAAAAGTCTGATACCTTTTGCTTTCATTTTGAGCAATATAACATTGTTTTATAGTTTTAAACCTAATTTATTTTTGTTAATCTTTCTTTAAAATAGATAGCACTGGATTTGGTATTGAGTTTCCTAATGCAGTTGCATTCATACATTTTAAAGTCTGGTGTAAATGTCTAAATACTTGTTGGGGCAATTCTATGTAGTGTAATTGGCCCTGATTCTTTGTATAAATAATTAACAATTTTTATGAAATAAATAACAACAAAACTCCAAATTGGCTTAAATCTAATTAAATGTAATAAAAGGTATTAAAGGAACAGTTAACCAAAATATTACAATTCTGTCATCAATTACTCATTCTCATGTTGTTGCAAACCTGATTTTGATATATCTGACATATTTTTGTAGACCAACATCAAAGTTAGAATTAACCCTTGTTCCCTCCACAAAAACCCGACAGTATTTTTCCATTAGCTTTTGGATTATTGCAGAAAATAGACTAAATAAAGTTTTGATGCTTACATGTTCTGTTCATGTAATCTTTGCAAACTTTTATGCATTTTGAAGCTAAATGTAGACTATAAACAAACCCCACATTGCATTACTTTAATTTCACCACCAGTAAGTTTCAACAACTCTTTCAGACTTTATTTTAAAATGTATTTATTTAAAAAGTTTGAGTTAGAAGGGACAAGAAATAGTAAAAGCTTTTTTTTTTTAAAATAAGTTATTTTTTTTTATAAAACATGAAAATATCTTGAACTTGAATCATTTCAGGCATTTCTCGAGTTCACATGTGCATACTGTAAATCAGGCGGGGTAAAGAATAGACATATTTAGGGAAGGGTTAAGCTGAGATATGACCTAAACTCAAAGTACTCCCCCAGACTTCCTTGGCTGGGTATAGGAGCCAGTTGGAGTAGCGGAGGGATGCTGGAAAACAGTCGTTGAATGGAGGTGAAAAACAGCTATATATTGGTTGGACAATCTGAGCATGTTCCTTCCAAATTTGGTTAAAATAAACTAACCCATGCAGTCAAATAACCCATTGACTTCAGGATGATTGAAGTTGATTGGTTGGGCAATCTGTACATGTTCCTTTCGAACTTTAAAATAAATGACCAAAAAGCAATTCAAGAAACCCTTTGACTTCAGGACGACTGAAGCTGTTTTGGCTTACAAAAATAAGTAATCCCTGCAGCACTCTACAGACAGAATGTCTACACATTTCCGTACAGAGAAAGTGATAGAAAGTGACAGAAACAGTCCATATGCATCATGCACTATATTCTTTTGCTTTCTTAAACAGAGTGGTATAGAGTTCTTATATAATACCGTATTTTCTGTGAGGGACAGAATTAAAGTTAGATTATTATTCACCAAACATCTGTTTTTCATTTATTCGATTTAAATATGTGTATGTTCAAACTTATTGGATGAAAAGCAGCATTCTCTTTTAGTGTTTCATAGAAAAGTTATACAGGTCTAGAACAAGTGTTTTCATTTCTTGATAAAATATCCCTTTACCCAGCACAGCTCTGAAAATGGATGTGTGTTGTGTATGTCTGCAGTCTTTCACTCTGTCCAGGAAGCGCATCATCCATTACACCAGTTACGACCAACGAAAGAGAGCCAATGCGGCCTTCCTCATCGGCGCTTATGCGGTGAGTCCAGCTCTGTTTCTATGACCTTAGAAGATGATCGTTTTGTGGATTTTAACCATTACGTTTTAGGGTTTGAGAGACCCCTGACAATAAGAACAAACTGATTATGAACAGTGAAAAACAAGAGCTATGTAGACCCAGCTGACCTCGTTTTAGAGCCTCCCGGAGAAATTTCTAGTCATGATGTCTCGCTTCTGTGTGCAGATAATCTACTTAAAAAGAACTCCAGAGGAGGTGTACCGGGCCCTGATCTCTGGAACCAATGTGTCATACCTGCCCTTCAGGTGAGAAGCTGCTCACACAAGCAGCTCTGTGCTCTGACACAAGCATCACAATCTGATCTGATCACGTGTCATCATGCTACTCATACCTCATTACTATAGCTTTGTATATTACTGTATCACTACTGTTCCAAAGTTTGTGTCAGTAAATAATAATAATAATAATTTGAGAGAAATTAAAACCTTTATTCTAAATGGATGCATTAAACTAATCAAAAGTGACAGTAAAGTATTTAAAAAATCTACTTCAAAATGCTGTTCATTTGAACTTTCTTTTCATCAAAGAATCCTGGAAGAGTTACATGGACTCCACATATATATTACACAGCAAAAACGGTTTTCAACATTGATAATACCTCATCAAGGCTGTATTTATTTGATCAGAATTACAGTAAACAAATAAGTTCACTAATATTGTGAAATGTGAGAAATGCTGCAAGCAGAGTGATACAAACGTTGAAATGGTTGGAGTTCTGTTATCACTAGAATATTGCACTGCTGGAAAAGGCTCTCAGCCAATCAGATTCGAGGACCAGAAATAACTGTCCTATAAAAAAATGACCTTACTGACAAATTTTAGAATGGTAGTGTGGGTAATTTTGAGGAAGGACTGCATGTATGCGCGCGCACACACACACACACAAATATTCAATCATACATTCACAAAAAAAATCGTTTTTTTTTTTTTTGCAATGAACATTCTTTATCTTCTATTTTCTTTTTTTCTTACCATATAGAGATGCTGCTTTTGGGAACTGCACATATGATTTAACCATATTAGACTGTTTACAAGGAATCCGCAAGGTACGTGTATTAAATACATTATTATTAAAATGATAAATTATAAAAGCACAATCCGTTTTAACTATTAATATTTAGGAAGGTTAAAGTTTGTGACACTCTTAAACTTGTTTTGGATCAAGGCTGGACAGCAGTGGCGTAGCGTCTGGGTATGCAGGGAATGCAGGTGCATATGGGCCTGGGCAGATTGGGGGCCTGCCGAGCTGAGGGGAACTTTTAATTGAAACGAGGAAATGAATTTCCCTGCAATTTCCCTGAATTTCCCTTGTCCGACAGCTTATCAGAATTCGAGTCCGACTGGAGCCTGTGTCTTTTTTCTCTCTCTCTCTTCCCCTTTACACAGCTGCTGTTGCTGCCATTAAAATAGTTTCGTTTCGGGTTTTAATGGCAAAGTGGTTATATTTCTTTTTGTTTCTTTATTAAGTTAATTTAGAAATATGTTTGGAACATTTTATGTTTGTTAAATTCAGGTTTTTGTTTTTTAAAGGAGCGGCCAGTGTCAGACAGTGAGTTGAGCATATGTTTGATAAATTTAGCCTTCTCAAATCAACACGATGACTTGCCTAAAATAAAATCTATAGACATAAAAGACTGTGCATTTCACAGTATTAATTTAAACATTTAACCTAGACAAATGTGCGCTGTTAGGCGCATATGCAATCGTTTGTGTGGAGAGTGGAAGCTGAACCGCGCTCTGCAGGACATGGGACTGATGGGAGCCGCCAGTGCGATAACTTGCTTTTTTTTAATAACAGTAGAAGCTTAAAAATATGCCGTCATTTTTGCTCATAAAGTTAAGAGTATACCTCATTCAGAACTGCAAAGTCTACTTTTATTTGTGTGCACTCACAATATCAACAAAACCTTGTGCTTTTGTAAAATAAGGAAAACAAACGCTTTCTGATGCGCTTTCTGTCGTCTCTGTCTTGAGCAGGAGTGCCTCACAATGATGAACTGAAACTCAGCGAATACTTGCCTTACCGAAATGATAAATATATCTATATAATGCTTTAAATTACTATTTTAAAATGAAATAATTCAAATCGAAAACAAAAACTCTTTCATTATGTAATCCGTAAAGATGCATTTCTCTCTAAAGGCACGTCCAATGAGGAGATGGCGAGTCAGGTTCATCAAATTCATCTTTGCGACTGACTCAGAAAACGCTAGTTTATTAACAAATTATCAAAATATCCCCTCACTATTTTTTACTTTTTTGTTTGTTTGTTTTTTATTTATTTTGTTTGTTTGTTTTTTGGGCCACTGTGCCAAAATTGTGTTTGCATTCAGTAGCTACAAATAGCCTATGGCAGCATTTTAGTGCCACGTTGAAAAATAACTAAATAAATAAGATTAACGTCATAATATTTTAAGAATAAAGTCAAAATTAAGATAATAAAATCATGTTATATTGCGTGAAGTTAATGTGAAAATTCCACCTATAGGCTACTACGCCGAAAAAAAAGAGTCTGTGGCATCCGTCACTCTTCACATTTAACATAAAAAACAGCAGTAAAATGTAGACTTACTGACTTTTTTTAAAACTCTGATTGATCGAGTTCATGAGACATTCGTCTGTATTAAATTGTTCAGATTTTGTTTCAAGCATGCATTCAAATATTCATGTTTATTTTTTGTGCTGCAAATATTAAAGAGGAAAATATCATTGATTCATATGCCGCTTGAACGGAAGCAAATTATCTCACTACATATTAAAGAGTGTAAAAACACATTTATTGTTTGTATTTTATCATAAAATTGACAGAAGGCACAAAGCTGCGATTATTGAGTGGCTTGCATGCTACAAATAATGAATGGACTTTAAACTTGAAATAGCATTTCCAAGCATTTAGCCTATACCGTAAAACAGCTCACGATTCACGTAACGCTATTTACTTCAGAAAAATCAACAATAGGGACCAAGTTAAGTTAACCGAGTTGAAGTCCATAACGCTTTGGGGGGGGTGACAACATTTTTTGCATATGGGCCCAGGGCTGACTTGCTACGCCACTACTGGACAGTGTAGACATGTAATGCACTTTATCCCCAGATCATAAGCTTTTAGTCCAATTATCTGTCTTTTCAATCTGACACGGGAGAAAGAACTGGCACAGGCACTATCAGACAGATTACATAAAGGACATTAACATAATGTGATAACTGAGTAACAGGAAGCACAATACAAAGAAAACAGTTTGTGTGGGTGGAGAGTTTCAGGAATGATATGCACTTGAAGAACAGTGAGATATGCAACTTGGATGGCTGTACTTGTAATTGAAACATGATTTGAGTATGTGGGGTTGAAGAAAACCTTGGAAGTTTGTCCTTTTAAGCATCAAGGATTTATCTAAAATGAATTCATGCATAATAGTCTCTTTTGAAAATGCTTCCTTAGAACCATTTAAATATCTGTTATGTTGGTAAAGTTAGTAAAATACCCAAATTCATATTTTTTTTTATTTAATGAAATGCCAAATCTTATAATTAATTATTATTAATTAATTTTCTCTTCAGGCCTTGCAGCACGGGTTCTTTGACTTTGAGAATTTTGATGTTGAAGAATATGAACATTATGAGGTATCACCTTTTTATATATTAATATTGATACTGATAATATTCTCATACTCATTCTCACGAGTGATAATATTTCTGTCATGTGAGTTCTGTCATTTTGACAGATAACAAATAGAAACATTCCAGTAAACACTGCTAATAGGGATTAGAAATGAAAAGGGGAGACAATTCCATTTTAAAGCATCCGTGTGAAAACAAACTTGGAAAGAGATGTGAGAATGTGACAAGAGAAAAACAGATTCTTAATGCATTCAGTGAATTATCCATGGAACATATCCCAAATTAAATCAGGAGAGCAGACCACAAATGTGTAGTAATTGTTGTCTTTTTATATATTGTTACAATTTAGGAAAACAGAAAATATTTAGGAGGAAAAGAAAGCAGCGGACTGAAAATAGCTCTTGCCATAGATATTTGAGTTATACCATACCACACTAAAATACCAATTGTTATCTTGTTCTCCTGCTGTCTGAAAATAGAACATGAAGGAAAATGTTGTTTATTCAGTCAAACCGATGGATAAGGATTGTTTGTAGTACAGCCTTATGATTTGAAATGATTTGTTTTAGTCTTTTGAGTGGAGTTTCCCCAAACCGGAAGTGCTTCCCATAATTTAAAACGCAGGACACTCGCTAGAAAAAAGGATGCTATCCTATTGTAAATTCTTAAAAGCAATAAAGCATCTACAAAACTCAACACATGTAACTTCTTTTCATTAGTTGTTAACATGTATGTTTTTGATGAATTCAAATGTTTTAGCATGTCTTCTCACCTTTTGCATTACAAGCGTGTAGAACATGGTGATTTTAACTGGATTGTGCCAGGAAAACTGTTGGCCTTCATTGGACCTCATCCCAAGAGCAAAATAGAGAACGGTAAGCTGGCACGTTAGATTCAGAGCTAAAAGCTTCTGCCCCAACAAATACTAGATTCTAGTGGTTATTGGATCGATGTTTTGGTAATTGTTCTTCACTTCTGAACTGATGACTGTTTTGGCTCTTTCAGGTTATCCTCTCCATGCTCCAGAAGTGTACTTCTCCTACTTCCGCCAGCACAATGTCACAGATGTTGTGCGACTGAACAAGAAGATTTATGAAGGTCGGCGCTTCACAGATGCCGGGTTTGAACATCACGACTTGTTCTTTGTAGACGGCACCACACCTAGTGATCTCCTCACAAGACGCTTCCTGCACATCTGTGAGAGCGCCAAGGGTGCCGTAGCTGTCCACTGCAAGGGTGAGACACTTTCTAGATTTATGAAGAAACTGCATCTTTTTTTTTGCATCTGGAGTAAGGTGCACTATTGCATAAATAAAAAGTGGAAAGGAGACTTTGTATGAGCCTGCAATTTTTGTGAAAATGTAATGCAGGACCCAGACTTTATGTTGCTAGTGAACCTGTATTTATTGCAGTCTATGTCAAATTTGATGCATTTGATGTCACTTTCAAACCAAGCAGATTTCTGCTGGTCAGTGTGACAAATTTGAAATTGTTACCAACTTAAAACCTTTTTGCCCTCATGTAAAACTTGTCTAATTCTGATTGAGATTAATGGATTTAATCAGCAAAATTTCAGCAATTAAAATGAATGAATATATCTTATATCTGTAACATACTGGTCATCGGCTGATTTTAGGCATTTTTAGTTGATTGGTATCAGTCTATATTGCATTTTTATTTGATCATGATTTAAAATTTTGTACATTTTACCCATCTCCTACCACTCAAAGTACGTCTTTAAAAACACTATTAATATTTCATCGGTACACAATGTGAGGTGACGGCTGAATTAAGTTTTGCGTTTAAAGTGCTTGATTTTAGATTTTAGTAGTTTATTTTGTTTCAATTTAATTTTCAACAAAATAGTATAAATATGGTCGATTAACAGCCATAATATGACAACAATCATTGATTATCGGTGCTGACCAGAATTTTAAAATCCGTGCATCCTTATTTATTTTACTTGGTAAGTTACAAGTTTTGTTCTTAGATTTCGAGGATGACGGTAAGTCACGCAACCCATCCATGTTGGATCTGTCTTATTTATCTGGCTGTGACAGATTAATTAATGCCAAAATACTTTAAAAAAAATAGTTAGATTGCGTGCATGTTCTTCCATGGGGAGCATTTTTTGATTTAAATGATTTTATTTTTAAATATAATATTTTGATATTTAATTATTATTTTCCCACTTTCTTTTCACAGCTGGCCTTGGCAGGACAGGCACTCTGATAGGCTGCTACATGATGAAGCATTATCGCTTCACAGCACCTGAGGCCATTGCCTGGACACGAATCTGCAGACCGGGCTCCGTCATTGGACCACAGCAGCACTTTCTCGAACAGTAAGTCCAAAAATTCTACAGACAGATTGAGGCACATAAGGACATAAAATGGTCTAGAGGTTTGTTTAGAAGCACTTTCTTTCTCTTAAGGAAGCAGCACAGTATGTGGGTGCAAGGTGATCTCCATCGGTCCAAGCAGAAGCAACAGCAGCTGAGGCAAAGCCGACAACAGGAGAGAAACATGGCCCATCTCATATCCAGCGTGGACGACATGTCCATCGACAGCACCATTCTGAAGCCACCAAGTGTGGATGAGGTGAGACGTCTGAAGAACTGAATCTACCAATCATATCTTGAGTGCACAATACAATAACACTGTTATTGAAACTGTTTTGTTACACTACAGAATGAGTTCAGAGAAGAGGACATGATTCCAACTCAAGGAGACAAACTACTAGCTCTAAAGGGCCAACGCCACCCCAGACCTACTGCCACAGTGCTTAGGTAGACCTTCAGTTATATTAAATAAAGGATATAATTATCATTAATATGGTCTCAACAGTCTCAGTCGTGACATCAGATCAAAATATTGTGGCAGTTAAAGGTACAATATGTAAGATTTTTGTAATAAAATATCCCAAAACCACTTGCACAGTGATATATATTTCATGCAGTTGTGTACTTACATTACCTCAAAAGTTCCCAAGGATTTGTAAATCCAGAGAAATTCCAGCTTTAAATAATGACTTGTCGCCTATCAATGACGCAATATCCGGGCTATCCTCAGTTTCCGCTTATGAATACTACGGCAACACACGTGGAGAAATGCGGAAATATTAGTTATACCGCATGCAGTGCGCCACTGTTGTGCATTTACGTCATCATGGATCACGATTACACTTTAGAAAGTACGGAAAAGCCAAAAAAACGTAGACGTACACCAACTGAGGCAAGAGGGCATTGGGACAAACACAGAAATAAAACTAGAATAAATATCGGCGTGGCGTTTCCAAAATGGAGAGAGCTTCGCAAAAATCTCGGACTGGACAGAGACTCCGCTCTCGCATGTGTTTTAATAGACAGGTAAGCAAATATATATTATTTATTGTGCAAATAATAGTCATGTACAGGTGATTTAAATAGATATAAATGAAGTTACACTAAGAATTTCCAGAATTTTCCTGTATTACAATTATTTGTGAAAAAGACATCTCCCATCGTTCCTCTGTTATTGTTTTGAAAATGCGACCTCTAGCGGAAAAAATTACATATTGTACCTTTAAACAAATCATTTTGGGTCAATATACAAAAGCATTGCCTTGATAATGTTTTGCTTTCTATTTGCTGCCTTTGGCAGGGAATTAATATGTTTTCAAAAAACACCAAAAATCCATGCGTTTCATTTTCTGTTAAGTGCTAAGGAAATTATACAAATGAATATATGAATGAATGAATTATATGAATGTACCTCTGAAGATTCTGACTGCCTTCAGAATAGATTTGATGGCATTTTGTTTTCATCTCCACTCCATGTAATACCTAATAAAGCAGTGTTTTAATCACAATGCTGCTTTGTCCACGGAGGTCACGGGAAAGAGCTGTAATTCTGCTGTTCCATAAGCGCCACCTAGTGTCAGAGAGTGGATTTACAGAGTTACATTTACATTCAGCCTGTGTGCAGTTTCTGTCTGGCCAAAATACAGACCGAATTTGCATGCCCTGCTGTAAATTTTGACCAGTTGATGAAAAACAAGCTAATGTGGATTCTACACTTTTAAACAATTCGGATAAGGTATCTAGAATTATTTATGGAGCAGATCAAATACATATAATCATTTATTATTCAATTATCATTTTGACTTAACTCTTTCTTTTATTTAAAGGCTGAAAGGCTGAGGTTTACCATTTTATGAAACTTTTTCAAAGCTTTATTTGAACATTTCGTACATGCTATTAGATAATCTGTCACGTCATGTTGTCATTTAAAATCCAGACATAATTTGTAATGTTATTGTTTTAGAGTTTATTAAGTAATTTTGTTTATTGTTTGTTGATTTTAAATACAAAACTTGGTAAATGATTTATTTGTCAGTACTTTTTAAACATTTCCAGCACATTTTAACAATACCGTGATAATACTGATAACCATGATAATTTTGGTCACTATAATCGTGATAAGATATTTTCATACTATTACATCTCTATCCCAGGTATACATAGAGGGAAGAATCATGAGGTCAAACCGAGTTACTGTCAAGTTAATATTGACTGTAGATTTACCAATTTATTGACAGTAAATCTACCATTTTAGATTTACCATTATTTTGAGCTTTATATAGATTTTGACCTGGAGGTGCTCCAGTGGACCAGTGGTACTCTCAGTTCATTGTGACGTCATGCATGATTCATGGTGCTTCTCATTCCTTAAATTGTGCATACACATTTCTGGGTCACGGGCTGGATGATAGGGAAGCAAGAACATGATTAAGCATCAGTTATAGCATTGAGAATCATTCGCCATTGAAATCCAGTCCCGCTTAGAACCCAAAGATAACCTGCTCAGGAACCTAAAGCATCATCATGATATCTTTCCTTTCTGATTATCTGATCTCCTCATCCACTATCAGTGTGCAGCATCCACTTGGATGATGCGATGGCAGCCATAGTGTGCCAGAACGCCCACCATACACCAGCTAATTGGTGGAGAGGAGACAGTGATGAAGCCAATCAGTAGATATGGGGATGATTAGACCAAAGACATCCTGGGATTTTTAATGACCACAGAGAGTCAGGACCTCAGTTTAACATCTCATCCAAAGGATGGTGCTTGTTGACAGTATAGTGCCCCAATCACTATCCTGGGGTGCTAGGACCCACACAGACCACAGGGTCAGCACCCCCTGCTGGCCTCACTAGCACCTCTTCCAGCAGCAACCTAGATTTCCCAGGAGGTCTCCCATCCAGGTACAAACCAGGCTCAACGCTGCTTAGCTTCAGTGGGCAACCAGTCTTGGGCTACAGGGTGATATGGCTGCCGACAATCTGCTAGCAATTACACCAATCACTATTGGCATTCTTTGCATTTGTAGCCAATGAGCTTGCTGCTCAACATTTTAATAGTTTGGTTCAGTGTTTGTAGTATCAGCAGCCCTCCATTGTATGTGTAGTCAAGTACCAAATAAAGTACCCATGAACAATTCTTTCAGTCAATAAAATCACTTTGGGGTCTAAGAGGGACTAAGCTTTGCACAACAGTGGCAGTGACCTGTACCAAGTGCAATGTTATTACACAAAAGCATTGCAGTTTTGAACATCATTACTCATATTGAAGAAACTGCACTGAAAAGAAACAAAAAAGATTCCATCCATGAGGACATTCTGGAGGACAAGCGTACATAAATTATAATCTTTTAATAAACTTGCTCTGCTATTTGTCTTTTTTTTGGCAGTGGGATAAACCCAGCTCCAAGCACCATTTCCCCTCCCAAGTCTTCCAAAGCTCCTCTCTTCATCTCCTCTTCCACTGCACCACGGAGACTAACAAGAAGCCCTTCCTCCTCTGCCGGCAATCTAAAAAGGTACATTAATGTTACACTGTCTGAGTGATGTGTTTTAATCCCAGATCCTATTTACACACCCAGACATTGCTAACCCCGCTTTATGCGACCCATACAGCTTCAGTCCCCGTTTAGCCCATTCCCTCAGCAACCTTTACGATGACAACAACTTCAATGACGATGACAACAGCACACCTCCTGCCTCCTTCGCACCCTCCCCATCTCCTGCTCTAACCCCCGCACCTCCATCTGGCTTCAGCTTTGGGTACACCTCTACTGAGCCCCGTCTTCCTCCCTCACATTTAAACTTCAATCAAGAGGCCAACACCAACCTCAACAGCCTTACTGGCGCTAATACGGTTAGCGCTAATCGCACAGTCAGGCCTATGAACAGAACAGGCTATAGTCTGTTCTCCAGCGGTCCACCGAACCCCCGTAGAGGTCCGTTGCGAGGTGGACTAAGTAGGTTACCAGGGCACTACCTCAGCAGATCCATTCCAGTGAGTGACCATCTGGCTGCCTTTGTCGTCTGTGTGACGCTTGATTTTCACTCACTACTTCTGCTGTTTTACTAACTTTCCTTCACTTTGTGTTTTTCCACCATTTTTTTTGGCCTCACTTACTGTTTCTGTGCTATAGTATAATTGTGATCTTTATGTGAGATTTTTATAATCAGCGGTTTTTCATCATTTAAAGGGGTCATATGATGCGATTTCAAGTTTTACTTTGTCTTTGGAATGTTACAAGCTGAACAGATAAGATCCCTGAAGTTGCAAAGACTAAAGTCTCAAAACCAAAGAGATATTCTTTATCAAAGTTAAGACTCTGGCACGCCCCCCTAAAACGCCTCGTTCTAACACGCCCCCACATATCTAGGTCACTATGCTGAAATATTTGCATAATGCCACCCAAATGTTCACGCAAAGAAAGAAGGCATGGTTTCAGTAACCGCAGTTAGTGTTGAAGTAGCATGTCAGGGAGACGCTGTGTGTTTCTAGGCGAAAGCAAAATCACTTTATTTGGCCTTCCGAAAGTAGATGCATTTAGAAATCTTAGAGGGCCTACAATAATGTACAGTATTTGAAAAATAATGTGTTTTTTGAACATTAAAGCATGTCAACATATTCTGTTACACCAAATACACAAAATAATGATCTTTAAAAAAGCATCATATGACCCCTTTAAAAAGAACAGCTCATGTACCGCTACCGCTATATCATTCCAAACATGAATGTGTTTTCTTCCTTGGAACAAAAAGGTGATGTAAATACAAATAAAATCTGAGCTGTATCAGAAGCACAAATTTATAGCAAATAATAATGAATTTTGGGGGGGTCCCCACATAAGATGTAAAGATACAAATAAAATCTGAGCTGCATCAGAAGCACAAATTTATAGCAAATAATTACTAATTTTGGGGTGGTCCTCACATAAGATGTAAAACTGAGTAAAGGTGTGGTAATTTACAATTATTCTGCGAATTTTGATCAATCAAGTTGTTTCAATAGGAATCAAAAAAGCCAATATTAATGGGAATATACATATAAAGATATATTTTACTTATAAGGATTTCTAGGGCTACAAATAATTGTAGTCATTGTGTATTAGAGAAAAATATATAAACCTTCAGTTAAAGGTTAAGATTTTTGAATGAAAGATCAAATGGATAAACAATGCAGATTTATTTTCAAAGCCTTCTTTGATCGTATTTACCAAGAGTATGAATAATTGAGCACAACTGTATGACTTTCTAATGTAGAACACAAATGGAGATTTTTACGAAAACAATCCAAAAATCTAAGCTTTTGTGAAACTCACATGATAAGTGACGGTACTCTGTGCTTCCACATGACTTCTCATGCAAGTTTCACAACACACTTACAGAGTCTGCTAATGCTCATGTCAAGCGAATGCACATTTGACAGCTGGCTGAAAGTAAAAGTTTTAAATATTAGTATTTTTCTCTCACACACCTATTGTTTTGCGTCAGAAGACATTTATTCATCAATTAGGGTATATGGATTACTATGTTCATTTTGCATGGTTTTTGAAGCGTCAATGCACGGTTACTTCCTGGTTTTATATAAGCCAGCTCAGTCATTTCCGGTCAACTGTCAAAATCAGTTGCGCTATAACGGGAGCACCCTTTGCTCAGTTTCTCTTCACAATCTGAAGAAAAATTTGATTTGTCAAAGAAGACCAAACGTCCACATGTACCTTTTCAGGAATAACAAACACGAGTGTAAATAATTTTGCGAATGAATCTACTAAATTGTCATTGCTGTGATTGACAGTGATAACTGTAGCGATGGAAGAAACAAAACATCGGACAAACCGATGGCAAAATAGAGCTTTGCATTAAAGGTGATTGTCTTCAGAAAATTTTTTTGTTATGCTGGTTGAAAGTCATCTCCAGCATTTTGAACGACCTGTAAGCGTTCCGTTTGGGACTTAGGTATACCAAAATAGAGGAAATTGCAATAATCCAAAATTGATTTAAAGATTCAAGGTCAAGGTGATTTCTTGGCCTGAATTCTGAGGGGTCAAAAACAATGACTTCTGTTTTGTCTGAGTTCAGAAAAAGAAAATTCTTGGCAAGCCAAGCTTTCACATCCTCAAGACATGCTGTTAGGTTGCCTAGAGCACTCTTATTTTTCCTAGACACAGGCATATAGATTTGCATATCATTGGCATAGCAATTAAATGAAACATTATGTTTCCTAAAAATGGAACCCAAAGGGAGAAGATAGAGAGAAAAAAGGACAGGAGCTAAAACAGAGCCTTGAGGCACACCACAGGATAGACTGCGAAGAGAAGAAGAGAAACGTCCTATTTTTACAGAGAAATGTCTATTGGATAGAAAAGATTTAAACCAACTTAAAATAGCTCCCCCTAGCCCAACGCAACACTCCAGCCAAGAGATAAGGATAAGGAGATAAGGAGTCCCCCGAATCTGTTGCCATATAAATATCATTAAGAACTCTTACAAGAGTGGTTTCTGTGCTGTGCAGTGATATAAACCCAGACTGAAACTTCTCAAGAATATGATTGTCAGTCAGGAAGGTCTGGAGCTGTGTAAAAACAATTTTTTTTCCAATATCTTGGAAATAATTGGCAAAATGGAGATCGGACAGAAATTTGATGAAATAGAGGCATCAAATGAGGGTTTCTTTAGTACAAGTGTAAGCGAGGCAATTTTCAAACTAGAAAGTACAGCTCCTTCAAGCAAAGATTTGTTAAATAGCGACATTGACAGTGTCAAATATTTGTCTCAAATAGTAAGGATGTAAAGTGTCATGCAAACTAAAGGAGAGTTTAAGTTTAAGCATTACTTCCTTTACAGAATGTAAAGAGACAGGATTGAAAGTCCACAGGACAGGTGAAGTCATCTCTGTTGGTATTTCCTGATCGGAGACCAGAAACTGGGCCCTCAAACTTGAAGATTTATTGCCAAAATAACTATAGAAATCCTCATAAAGTGCCAAAGACGGGTAGTGAAGAGAATTTACAGGGGGGTGTTAGAACGGAGTTGATAACAGAAAAAAGAGATTTTGAAGTGTGGTGATGTTTCTTAATCAGTTTAGAAAAATAGGAAGCCTTGGCTTTCTTAACAGCATTCTGATATGACGATAGGCAATTCTTTAAGATCTCATAAAAAATCTGTAAATTGTCCTTTTTCCACTTCCTTTTTGCTTTCCTGCATACCATGTCTCAAGGAACGAATACTATGATCAACCCATGGCTCCGATTTAGATGTAGATTTTGGCTTAAAGAGCTTAAAAGGAGCTGTAAGGTTTAAAATATCTGTCCATGCAGTATTTAAAACGATAAAATGATTTTCAGCATCAAGATCAGGTAATAGAGACAAATGATAAAAGAGGGTTGACCTCATTATTGACAAAATCCTCACAAAAATAAGGCAAATATTCACGGGCTTGCGTACCATCAGAGGCAGGTGTAAGAGAAGGCAGTGGGAGGGACAACTTAAATAAAACAGGAAAATGATCAGAGATAACAGAATCAACAATTCAACGTCAGTGATAGATAGACCATGTGACAAAATCAGGTCCAAAATGTGTCCATGTGTATGTGTAGGATGATTAACCCACTGCAGCAGGTTAAAAGAGTAAATGATGTTTAAAAACTCAGAAGTTAGCTGCTTAGAGGGGCAACATACATGGACATTAGTCAAGTCACCTAAAGTAAAGTGACGTGTCCAAGTATGGTTACCCATACTAGGAATTAGTGCTCATGAATTTCACTGCACAGCTGAAGAAATAGCTGAGAAATTTAAAGGCTTTAAAATAGTGTTTAAAAAATGTGTTCATGACTATGAAGATAAGTTAACGATTATCAAGAATACCATTGACGTTGTTTATGAGATAGCTAGCTAATGTTAGCCTGAGCAGTTACGATAGTGTTTAGTGTCAGCATTTAAAAACTACGTGTGTAGGTACTCTCCTGGGATTACCAGGCTTGGCATGCATGTTGTTAAATATCAACATACATGCCAATCATTATTTATGGTGATAATTATTTTGTTTCTCAGTTTCTGACAAAAACAAGGCAGGAGAGGTTTCTGTGAGGGTTTCAAGAGTCTCTACCTATTACCACAACATCAAATGACATTTATGTGCTGGCTTATCTTTATGCGCAAGTGGTAAAGAACGCTCAGTGCATATAGTCCACTTTGAGGGGTACATCTACTTGCATTATATGGATTGGAAAATATGGATTATTTTTCTAAAATCTCTGTGTTCTCCTGAAGAAAGAAAGTCATATTCATCTGGGACATAAAGTAAATGATAGTGAAAGAGAATTTTAAAATGAAAGAATTTTAACTTACACCTACATTAATTTGACAACACATGTGCTGCAAACACTCACAACACGACCAACAAAAAAAGCATTGCAAGCAACACAGACCACAGTGTAAATGATTCAAGGGGGGACTGCAACAAGTTGTGAAATTAAGATAGCCAGCTAACATAAAGTTTCAGAATTATAGTAAGCTAAGGAATCATCATGTCCCAGCCAGGTTCGTTTGTGAGTATTTGCAGAACGTGTCAAACTGATGATGATGTTGTTTTCGTAAACATTAATGATGAGGTTTCCTTAAAACTAACAATAACACTGTATCTATGGTAATTATATTTAGGCTATTATTATTATTATTATTATTTATTAGGTTTAAAGCTATGATGATCTAAACAGAGTGTGAAAAAAGTAAACCATTACAGCATTTATTGTGTAAATGATTTGGATGCTGTTATGATGAAGTGTGTTTTCTGCAGCATTTCCAGAAGATCCCATACTGCCCAAAATAAAGAGTTTGATAGCAAACCAAGAACAGAAGCTTATCTGCACAGTCCACAACATTTACCCTTTGGACAAGTTTCAGATTGAGTGGCTTCGTGGAGATAAGACCCTTCGTGAGGAAGACCCTGATGAACCAATTTTAGATCATGTTAAGAATTATTCCTCTATGTTCAATTACACACCTTCTGTCGATGATCTGGGCAAGAATATTAGTTGCAAGGCAACACTGAAACTCAATCTCAACAATCGGGAGAGAACAACAACTGCTGAATGTAAGTTGTTGGGTAATGCACTCCAACTTTTATTAAAGGAATATTCTGGGTTCAATACCAGTTAAAGGGATATTTCACCCAAAAATCATCATTTACTCACCCTCAATTTCTTTCAAAATTATTTTAAGTTTCTAACTTGTCGAACATAAAAGAAGAAAGAAACTCAAATGGGTTTAAAACAACTTGAGGGTGTGTAAATGATGGCAGAATTTCATTTTTAGGTGAACTAACCTTTTAAAGGGGTCATGTGAGATTGCTAAAAAGAACATTATTTTGTGTATTTGGTGAAATGAAATGTGTTATGCGGTTTAAGGTTAAAAAACACATTATTTTCCACATACTGTGCATTATTGTTTCTCCTCTATGCCCCGCCTTTCTGAAATGCGTCGATTTTTACAAAGCTCATCGGTCTGAAAAGCGAGGTGTGCTCTGATGCGCTACACACATCTTAATATTTGGGTTGAACTGTTCTGGAACAGTGTTATAATTACAACTTAATCAATGATTTCTAGTCGTGTCCTTCCAAAAGTGCCGGCGGCTTGAGTGAGCGCAGGCCAGTGGGCTTGCGGCAACCACATTTGATGACCCCGGGCTGGACTCCGCTTCGTCCACGGTGAAAGCCGATCCGGCGATCCACAGCGCGAAGTTGATGTATTTCCTCAGCGACCAGCACGGATCAGCTCCAGGCATGACGAAGCGGATATCGTCCTCTTTTGGAAGACCAAACAAAGTAGTTTCACTTTCACAACGAAACACACGGCAACAACAATACTACAGCGAGAATCAAAGTTACGCCTTCTTTCTTTGCGTGAACATTTGGGCGGCGTTATGCAAATCTTCCCACATCGTAACGTAGACATGTGGGGGCGTGTTAGAACGAGCCGTTTTAGGTATTTAAGTTGACTCTTAACTTTTATAAAGAATATCTCTTTGGATTTGAGACTTTAGTCTTTGAAACTTTGCAGATCTTCTTTATGCACCAAGAGCTTGTAACACTCCAAAGAGAAAGGATAAATTGAAATCGCATCATATGACCCCTTTAAGTTAAAAACAGCATTTATGGCATAATGTTGCCACAAAAATAAAGATTATGGTGAGGCAATTACAATGGAAGTAAATAGGGCCAATTTTTGCATGAAAAATATTCATTTCAAGATTTAAATTTTTTCTGAGAACACTTTCATTAATTCTTCTGTTAAAACCTACTGCAGCTGAAAAGTTGCTAATTTTTTTCAATAATTTTAGGCATTACATTGTCACAGCAGCAAAGTTTTAATATTGACTACAACTTTACACAGAAAAGGCCGTTTAAATCTTAACACGCATTGTGTTTACATCTTGTATTGTTGAAACAGTGAGTATTTTAACGGCCCAAACACTACTAACTCAGTGTAACCCTGATTGATTTTTAGAAACTATTTTAGTAGTAATCAACATTATGTCACAAGTGTTGTCGATTGAGCTTAACTAGTATTGACCCCAGAATATTCCTTTAGAAAATTAACAAGAATTATCGGGGTCATGAACTGCATTTGCTTTTTATTTTGTACTGTTCTCTGAGGTCCACTTATAATGTTATCAAGATCACTTATAATGTTATCAAGATTATTACATGAAAAAATATAATTTAGAATAAGCTATTTTCTGTCCTGTTTTTTTTTTTTTATTATATTTATGGGCTTTTATGCCTTTAATGGACAGGACAGTAAAGAGCAGAGAGGAAAGCTTTGGGTGGAGAGAGGGGAGCGGGATTGACAAAGGTCCTCGAGATGGGAATCAAACTCGGGTCGTCGCGAGCACAGTTGCGCTATATGTTGGTGCACTAACCACAAGGCTATTGGCGCCGACTTCTGTCCTGTTTTTAACCGTTTTAGCGAGCCCTGCAGTCTTAAGTTCTGCCAGCGCATCATCTCTGGAATAATAGGGTTTCAACATGTTGATATGACAAATATGTTTCTGACGTTTCCTGTCTGTTGTACTGAGTACATAATCAGTCTCACTCTTTTCCCCCACATTTTTTTGATATGGCCCTGCAAAACATGTGGATAATGCTGACCCTGGCTAGCTTGCAAGCCTTCTGTACACGTTCACGGAGTCTACAAACATAATCTAACACATTCACCTTCAGACTCGAGTCACAATTAATGCCTAGCCTTTGTTCTTTAAGAACCTTTAAAGGTCCCCTAATAGAATGACCGAAGACCAAATTGGCAGGGCTAAATCTTAATGACTCCTGTAAAGGAATTCCCTCATCCCAATTCATTACCCGTTTAAACTCAGTACTTCTTCAACATTGATTTCAGGGTTTGATGAAATCGTTCTAAAGCCCCCTGACTCTCTGGATGATATGGACTCGACACATGCTGTGCGATATTAAGGGAACTCAACACCTGTGCAAACAACTTGGAAAGGAAATTCGTACCTTGGTCACTCTGCACAACTTTTGGCAATCCAAAAGTAGAAAAAAAATAAAAACTTGACAACAGACTTAATTACAGACTTGGCAGCAATTTTACGCAAGGGTATAGCTTCTGGATAACGAGTGGTGGCACACATGATAATACGAATAAACTGATGAACAGATTTCATCTTAAGTAGAGGTCCCATGCAATCGACAATCACATGCTCAGACAGCTCACCTAATGCTGGAATTGGTATGAGCGGAGCTGGGGAAATAACCTCATTCGGATTCCCCATATATTGACAGATATGATTTGTACGGCAATAATTTGCTACAGCTTTCTTAAGTCCAGGCCAAAAAAAAAACCAATGGTGCAAAACGTGGTTATACGTTTTGGTAACCCCTAAATGTCCAGATAAAAATGGATCTTGAGCAAGAGCAGTGGGGGGCAGGGTTGGTATAGGGGGGCTGGCTTGTAGCCCCTGCCCCGTTTATCGCCAACGCTAATGTGCCCTTTCGTTCTGGTCTAGTTGCCCCCAGACCACGACTGTGCCCTCGAAACACCATTTCTCCCCTGCCCCTCCAGGTGTCTGTGTACGCCACTGAGCAAGAGAAAGTATATGAACTCAAACTGAGGGAATTAATACTTGATATACTGTTGAACCCTCGTCGCTTGCACTAACTTTCGGCTGCCATTTTTGTATCAGCAAGCCATCTTCTACAGTATAATAAGCACCTTTGCCTTTGCCATCTCTGCCCACAGCAAAACATTTAACCAAGGATTTATCCTCTCTCTGAGCCTCCACAATTTTCTCACACGAGTAACAGGCAGAGACAAAGGGACATGAACATTCATAACTTCAGAGTCTTTATGAACAGAAACACTCAGCGCTACATCTTCTCCAGTCTCCTCCCTACACACAAAATAGTATAATTCAATACAATCTCATCATTCCTTTCCTTTGCCTGAGCACAAGTAAAGACACAAGCGGGGAAAACTTCAGGGCAATTCTGAGCTAGTTCATCTGTTTCAGAAGATGAAATGGGATGATCAACATCTAAAGCAGGTAAAACCCTTTCCTCAGCCGAATCATTTCCTAAAATAAAGGACACCCCTGGAACTGGGAGCGCAGGATGCACCCCCATGTTCACAAATCGAGTGATTAGATCAGACTGCAAATGTATGCAATGCAAAGGTACCGTCACAACATCCATACTAATGCCCTGAGCTAATATACTAGATCCCAAATATGAATGATCAGAAAAGGGTAAGGTATCAGAGCATATAAATGCATACCAAATGCTTCAACAAAAATGGGTCATATATACTATCAGGCAAAACTCCTATTTCTCTCATATCCTTAGAGATAGTTTTTACCAAAGCAACAGGCTTCTGCTGTGAAGAACAGAAACAGAAGAAGTTGTTTACGTTCCAACGCTAAACGATCTGAAATTACGTGACCCACTTTATGACAATAATAACACTACTATTTTTCTTTTGTCTATTCGTTTGCTATTTGCACTTGTACCAGCTATGATGGAACAACAACAGGTGTGCTTTTATCATTTATCATTCCGGCGAATGCAGGTTTCTGCGTAGACCTGCATTCGCCTCTCATGCTAGTTACACTACATGCATGAATTGGTGGGCGGGGCTAAACAGGCAGTGATGTAGAAGCAGGCGTTGATCTTCTTCTGTGGAGCAGGTACTTATCCACACTATAACATCATAGAATGGTACATTCCTCAAGCTGCCGTTTTGGCAGACTGGCATCATTATAAGCCATTTTTAGACTAAAAAAAAATAACGTTTTGAGTACTGAAACTTACAGGATGTTTTTATAGTACAATAAGGTGACCAGACGTGCCACTTCCCGGGGACACGTTCTGTACAGGATTTCAGAATTGCCTAAAATAACCAGGTGTTGGTTGTTTGCACTGCGTCGATCGATTGTTTTATGACATCAAAGCACCGTTGAGAGTGATTCGAAAGCTCTCTATCTCCGTTTTTGTACTTTACTGTCATACAGCGATCGATGGGCACAGCAAAAACAACCAACACCTGGTTATTTTAGGCAATTTAGAAATCCTGTGCAGAACGTGTTCCTGGGAAGTGGCACGTCTGGTCACCTTATAGTACAATGACCTCTTGTAAAAATATGCCTTGCATGTCTAGGGAATTTTGGTTTCTCAGTTCATGACCCCTTTAAATCACTTTTCATGTGTCATCAATGAAAACTCTACATTTTATTCCCAGATGGTCCAGGGACTATAACAGTTTCCAGTAATAATACCTCGGTAAAGCTTGGCGAACGTTTGGAGATAACATGTCATGCAGACGGAAACCCCAAACCAACGATCTTTTGGTGGAAACTAGGGGAGACCGAGCCTGAACTCCAGAGTCAGAACCACAAGTTGATAATAAATAATGCTTCCTGGTCTCAGGCAGGTTGGTATCGTTGTAACGTTAGTAATGACGTGGGAAGCCAGCAAATGAGAGTAAAAGTCACTGTTGTAGGTGGGTAAATTAACTCATGATGAAATCAACTGTCTTGTCTAATCAATTTAAACCTGGCCATGATCTTTAACCTTTTTTTTTTTAATGCAGGTCCTCCAAACATCCCCAAAATCCTGTTAAGCCATAGAGAAGAGCCCAAAGAAGGAGAGAGCATAAGCATATTCTGTTCTTCAGATGGCGGGCCAGCAGAACTGAAACTGTACAGACAGTCCCAGAGCATTGCGACAGGAGATCCGAAAGAATCAGCTGTGCTTTTAAACATCTCATCAATCCAAATAACTGATGCAGGGATTTACATCTGTGAAGCAAAAAATGACTTTGGCATTGAGAGAAGCACAATCAACATTACAGTCCAAGGTGAATTTATAACATTCTGGAGATCACACATATATATATATATATATATATATATATATATATATATATATATGTGTGTGTGTGTGTGTGTGTGTGTAAGTAAATGTTTGACTAATAGGGGTTGTATACTAAACTTATTGCAGTATTCCACTGTATTGCATAGATAGGTATAACATATAACTGAATAAGCCAAATACACATCTCTCTCGCACACATACACTTTACTGTACAAACACAATTTTACTGTTTGCATTTCTAGTACAACCCTCTTTCCTTAGCTCAAGTATGCAAACTTCTTTGCCACATGCACTGGAATATGTATTGCAGTGAATGTTAACATTTTTTAAATGAAAATGGCAACATGATCGTTTTATAAAGTATGCGTTCATAAGTGCTTCATTTTCACTGGAGGAAACAGCTGTGGTGTGATGAGGGGTGAACGCTGCGAAAACTTAGGCTACAGTAGATGGGGAACTGATTGCTCCCCCATGATATTTTGTAAACTGTATTAATGACAAAGAACTGCGCAGATGCAAATATTATAACAATCTATCGATAAACACACACCTCTGTTTCTCGCTCTGAGGTCTGCTGATTGAAAAAGAACGAGCTGAAAGACGTGGACTAGCCGATCTTCTTCTTTTTAATATTTAACGGCGGTTGGCATCCAGCGTAATTGGTACATTACGCAGGGGCATAGATTACGCGGGGGACGCATTAAACATACGATTGCGACAATATGGTTTATTTGTGTTTGTCAAGTCATCTCAAGGTAATAAATAAAGTATATGAACAATGCAGTACTAACTGACATCGCATGTATTACAGTCTCGAAACTACTCTGCCTTATTATGTGATTAAAAAAAAGAGTTTGTAGTATATATACAAATCATTATTATTTGTTATTGTCCAGCAGTTATCTGATTTCTAAGCCAATTAAAAGCTAGAAATGAGAGAAACATTAAAGTTGACTATACACTACCAGTCAAAAGTTTTTGAACAGTAAGATTTTTTAATGTTTTTTAAAAGAAGTCTCTTCTGTTCACCAAGCCTGCATTTATTTGATCCAAAGTACAGCAAAACAGTAACATTTTGAAATATTTTTTTCTAGGCTATTTCACATAAATTTTCTATTTGAATATATTATAAAATGTAATTTATAGTGATTTCAAAGCTACATTTTTGCATCATTACTCCAATCACACTATCCTTCAGAAATCGTTCTGATATTCTGATTTGCTGCTCAAAAAACAAATATTTAATACATTTAATACACACCGTAGTATTTAATTGTTTGAGGGTGGAAATTACCGTTTTGACCGTCACACCGTCACACCCGTAATATATATATATATATATATATATATATATATATATATATATATATATATATATAAAACATTTCTGTCCCCCCCACTTCAGAAATGATGGCTACGCCCCTGACATTACGCCACCATCTGCTTCGGAGTGTGAATCAGATAATAGGTTTACAGACTAATTTACCCAATTCCCTCCTTCTCCCCCAAGCATACAAATCCACACACGTCATCCTTATTCTGCTATATAATAATACTACTACTACTAATAATTTTAACCTTCCTCAATACTCCTATAACTCTTCATACTCTATTAAAAACCCCTGTGTCCCCTTAAGATATCCATAAGATCACCATAAGATGTCATGGCGTCGCTAGGCTTTTCAGACCTAAAAAATTGCATCCGGACGGGATTTCTAAATCACCTAATATGTCCGGGCTTTTGCTTTCTACAGTCGTCATTCATTGTGTGCGCTTTTGTTTTAGAGCCCTGCAAGGGACTGTTTTATTAATCCCGCTCCCGCTGAATTTCTGACCATTTATCGCCCACTCCCGTGATTTTTGTGTCCAGTCCCGCTCGCTCCAGCAAACATTCTAATATTGCATATAATTTTCGCGCATCAGGGAGCCGCCATCAATATGCGGAGTATTTAAATCTCATTTATAGGAGCGCTCGCTGTTCACTCTCGATTTAGCGATCACGTGCGTTCTGTGTAAAGGAAGATCAGATATTTGTCAATGAGCTCAGGATCTGTTGAGCAGCAAATCCTCCAGCATGATCTGTCAGCCATCTCTCCTCTCAGCCCGTGATCAGTCAAATCTGACTCCTGCAGCTTGTGTTAGATGCAGGGTTGTCAAGTCCACATTTTTTTGGATGGAATTGGGCTACTTTTAAACCGTTACCATGGGTTGATTTTCCCCGTTTGAAATGTTGCATAAATTACATTTGACTGAATTGCTTGTATTGAATACCAATACAATACCTTTTTTTTTTTTTTAAGTGTATTTAAGTCCCGCCACGTCATATTCCACACCCACACGCTTCTGCTATTTTCACTCTGTTCACCCGCTGTCCGTTTAGAATAATTTTCTTACCGACCCGACCGTTCCCGCTAAATTTAGATCTTGTTTACAGAATCTCACATTTAAATTTCTGCTACTGAAAGACAGAGATAAATAAAAGGGTAATCTGCACAAAAATTGCATTTGTTATTTTATTCGTCTTGTCAAAATAAAAAATTCGTTTAACATTTTGCAAGAGGGAGTAAAATCTTTGCCTGGCAGGCACTCGACCTGCCACCACTATTTGCACCTGCCATTCGACCTGCCACCGCCAAATACGCCTGCCACGTTACCCGTCACCGCTGAATTCGCTTGCCTCGCGACTCATCACCACTATGTATATTTATTTATAAATACGACATCTGTCATTAAAATTATAGGCTAAGCAAAATATGAACAAAACAGAGTTGAACGTCCTTCAAGGACAGCGCATCCACACTTTGCTCTGCCATCATTATTCTGCTCGGTCACTCATCGACCACCAGCCTGTTCTGTCTGAGTGCCGTATATTCACCGCCGGTACAGCCTGCTCTGTGCACAGACCCTGCAAATAAAACGCATGACGCAGAAAGCACTGGTCCATTTGTGCAGCGCTGTTCTGAATGGACGTCTGGAACGGGATATTGTTAGACCACCCGCTCCCGTTCAAATTACACCAGAGTTACCGACCGCTACCGCGCTTTAATCAGAAATGTAATCCCGCATCGCAAGAAATCTGTTTGGGTCCCGCGGTTCCCGGCGTTGTGCCCAATTCTGACCCCTGCCAGATTACTACCCCCCTAGTATTGGTAGGTTTAGGGTTAGGTGTGGGGTTAGGATTAGGCAATCAGATAGCGATTTCAACGAGAGGGGTAATAATTTGGCAGGGGGTCGCAAATGGGCACAACACTGGTTCGACTTCTATAGCCTACCTAATCTTTTGGTTCCATAAACACATATCGCTGGGAATATTTTACATTAAAACAGCTTTCCTTGAATCCAGTGTTCTATTGAAAATGTCTAGTAAGAAGTTACTACTGTAGTAGCCTATGACTGTACTTACTCCAAGGCGCGGTTTTGTAACCGGCATACATCGAGTAAGAAAGTTTTAGGTTAATCAGATAAAAAATGTGTTGCCACAGAAGCAGTGGCTTTTTTAGCAATTAAATAATACATGAACAAAAAAGGATGTTCTATTGAAAATGTCTAGTAAGAAGTTACTACTGTAGTAGCCCATGACTGTACTTACTCCAAGGCGCGGTTTTGTAACCGGCATACATCGAGTAAGAAAGTTTTAGGTTAATCAGATAAAAAATGTGTTGCCACAGAAGCAGTGGCTTTTTTAGCAATTAAATAATACATGAACAAAAAAGGAAAAAAAAAACATATCTACAACACCCATTTGCTGTGACTATATTAAATTTATAGCAGTGAGGATGGAATATTTCAGTTAGATTTCTGTTTCTCGAATCTTGTTGATTTTTACTTTTATTTTAATCCAGCAGCACAACATGACATCTGGAGAAAGCCAGACCTGCCTGTGGCCATCCTGCCGGCTGTAGGGTCAGTGTCGCTGTTGACCGCTGTTGTACTGCTGATCCGACACTGCAGAAAGAAAGCCAAGAGCAACTCCAGTAACATCACACTCGACTAAACGTTTAAGTTTTTGAAATGTCTCTTATGCTCATAAAGGCTACATCTATTTGATTAAAAAAATAAAGTACAAATAGCAACATGACAAAATATATTGTAAATATTTAAAAGTAGTTTTTTATATTTTAAAAATGTAATTTTATTTCTATGGTGCTGAATTCTCACCATCATTATGCTAGTCTTCAGTGTCACATGATCCTTAAGAAATCATTCTAATATGCTGATTTGGTGCTCAAGAAACATTTTGTATTATTATCAACATTGAAAAATCTTTCAAAAGTTTGGGGCACATACATATAAAGAATTAATATTTTTATTCACCAAGGACACATTCAATTAATCTAAAGTGACAGTAATGACATTTAACAAAAATACTAAGCAGCAAAAATTGTTTGCAATAAGCAATTAACAATAAGAAATGAGAAATATAGCTGCAAGCAGCGATGGCGGGCCCAAGCCGTCAGTGCAAACGCCATCTCGGAGGCATCAGGTGAACGGTGCACAGCGGGCACATGCATTTACAGTAAACCTCTGGCAGTCTGGTTTTAAGGGATACGGCAATTAAAGGGTTAATCCAAACCATTAAGACTGTGAAACACACATATACAGAACAATATATAAAACTTTAGTAACACTTTACAATAAGGTTTCAGTTATTAACATTAACTATATTAATTAACATGAACAATAATTATGTAGCATGTATTAATGTCAGTTAATATTCAAAACTTAAACATTAAAAAAATTGGCGCACTATGAATCATTAGTTAAGCATTAGTAAATAGTTCGTTCATCCTTTATAGAGCATTGTTCAAACAATAATAGGCATTAGAAAGCAACACACACACAGACACACACAGACACTCACCCAGCCCCCACCTCCTCCCTTCCTCACACAGGCAGTGGCAGAGTGAGTGAGATCAGATGTCTTACAGTTTTTTAATTTTCTGTTATCCATAGCGTGTTGTAAAGTCGTGAATCTGTGACTATTTCCTCAGAATGACTTGTTCTATGTATGTAAAAAGTTTTGAACTGTTTGGAAGCTGCATTTTAATAATACATCACAATTACTCTGTCATTTTTTCATGTTATTTTAACAAATCACCACGGCAAAACTTCTCAAGCTATGCAAAATCCATCCTCAGTATAAGTTCCTCAATGTTTTGGCATTATGTAGAAAAAGTTTGGTGTGTATAGCGTAATTTTCCTCTGAGGAGTATTCATTAATTCACAGCTATATTTTCCCAAAAATCCATATTCAAATCAATATAGCTGACTTCCTGTTGGTCGTAGCTAATGACTGTAAATTAGAAAGTTGTCCGGTTTGATGAGCTCAATATAGGTACTAAGTTTGGTGACTGTAGCTAAAACTAACCACCCAAGTTTTGTCAAAAGGTGGCGCTATAGAGTGCCTCTTCCACGCCCTTTTATGAGCTTTTCCCAGTGTCTATCTATAATTATTACTGACATGTGTGTTGCGTTTCAAGAAATTCTAAGCATGTTATCTGCACGAAAATCACCGGAAAAGAATATTCAAGTTTGACACGTTGCCAAGGCAACAATATTTCAGATATCAATATCCCCTCACCAGTTTTACATCGGCCGTGTTTTGACATGATTCTGAAAAAGTTTGAAGCAAATCGGGTAAAAAGAAGATTAAAAGCATTTTGAAAATGACACACTTCCGCCCGTCAGTTGGTGGCGCTATGACTTTGACTCCTAATAGTCACATGTATGCGATCGGCTGCATAAATGTCAACAATTCTGTGTTTTTCTGTCAATATGGGGTGCTGTGTGTACATTAATGAGGAAAAAAAATTAACTTAAATGATTTTAGCAAATGGCTGCAATATAACAGAGTGAAAAATTTAAGGGGGTCTGAATACTTTCCGTACCCACTGTATATAATAATAATCCTTAGAAAAACAATAGGGCCCTGCGCCTTTCTGGCTTGGGCCCTAATTAATAACAGAGCATCAATAATAATTTATAATAACCCAGCACCAAATCAGCATATTAGACTGATTTCTGAAAGATCATGTGCCACTGAAGACTGGAGTAACGATGCTGAAATATCAGCTTTACCATCACAGGAATAAATTACATTTTAAAATATATTCAAACAGTTATTTTTAATTGTAATAATATTTCACAATATTACTGCTTTTACTGTATTTTTTTACAAATAAATGGAGCCAAATAAAATTCTCTCAACACTGGAAAAAACTTATTTTTTCCAAAATTTTGACTGGTAGTATACATCTATTCTTGGATATATAAACTTCAAACATATGATAAAATATCAAACTCCTTTGAGAAGCAGAGGTAGATTATGAACTTGCCAAATTAATAGGTCTGCACATAACTGCACACAGCATTCAGCAAATAGCCAAACACAGATTTTTTTTTGTTTGTTTTACAGATGTATTGTTTTACCAGATTCACTAAATTCATACAGTTTCATCGAAGTTCAGATTAAATTTTGGCACAGATAAAAGGAAACTCCTTTCCTCAAACGTTGATGCAATTTTCACTTTCCTCTGCAAACAATGCAACAATAGTTTTGGATTCATTCAGCCTGCTAATTGTTACAGGCATTGTTCATTCTCTTCCTGTTTCTGTTATCAGTCTATCAAGCACGATTTCATCGGGAAGTTTCATTCCCAATCTAAAACTCTAGGTGTTGAAATGTAATACAGTGAGCATCTTGTGCTCCAAAACAACAGCCAAAAAAAGCCATTTCAGAAGGTCTTGATTTAAATGGCTATTGTGGAAATACCACAAGCTTTCAGAAACCCAATATGCTGAAACTGGACTGACTACATGTATACAAAAGAAAAAGAAAAAAGTTTTCTAATGTTTGCTCTTGTCATTTTGCCTGTCATGGCCGTGTATAATTAAGTAGTTGTTGACTGAGCTCTAACATCCTGAGAAATCCCTCATGTGCCTTCCTGGTCTGTGATCATGGCTTTTAGTTTAGTCTCGTTTAAGTCAATTTTCACCCCTTTTTGATAAGGATGCAGGAAGGGCGACAAAAACAATTATGCTTAGAATTAGACATTATGTTATGGGCACTTCTAAGCACAATAGTTGTTGTCGCCCTTCCACCATCCTTATCAAAAAGAAGTGAAAATTACTTTAAAAACAAGACTAAATTAGAAACCATGATCAAAGACCATCTCAGGAAGGCACATTTGATAAGACGTTCTTGGCATGTTTTATTTTGGTTCTTTTTGCAGTAGTCAGTCGTGTACAGTAAATCACACATCTACTGGTGTTTATTATTTTACTTTCATTGTTTCTCCATGTAGCCATTGTTAAATAAATGATTTTATATAGCGTTATGTAGTTTATAGTGATATTCATTTCAAACTTTCATTAAACAATTGTTGTACTGTTGGGTTGCCGCTTGGTAAATCCAATGAAAATCTGGATCTGGAAGTGTTAAAAATAAAAAAAATGTAATCAGAATTATTCATAACTATTTTTATTAAGTTTTATTCAAAACTAAATTAAACAACAAAAAAAGGAAATATAATGTAGATAAGGTTTTGTAGATTTTTGTCACAGTTAAACTAATTATAATGCTGTAGTATTTTGAATAAATTTTTCTTAGTAAATAATTTTTAATAAAAGTGAATTCTTTCTATATTTTTCCCCTTTTAATGATAATAATAATATTTATGACTCAAAATAATACAGCTTAATAATCAGTGTTAAAAAAAAAAATCCTAAAACCAACTTCATCTACATTATACTATGTTGGTAAAGCTTGAACACTAAATTTCACACTCCATCTACTGAACATATGTGAGGTATACAAGACAAATAACATCAGGGAAATATATATATCTCCACCATCAGAGTATATTAAACCATCAGCGAATGTCGAAAATATTACTTTTGCTAAATTATTCAGTTAAACGGGTTTTGGATGAGATGTGTACATTTTGTCCAAAAAAGTTGATCTAATATCTCAGAACTCGGATCTTATCAGTCTCGCAAATGTGCTGACATCAGATCCTGCTCTTGTGATTAGCATAGCTGGGGAAGTTAAGGGGGTCTGAATACTTTCCGTACCCACTGTATATGTGTTTTGAAAACCTTTGTTCAATTTTCAAGTGTCCATTGAATTACTTTAAGATAAACGTATCTTTGCTGATGTTATTTATTTATAAATTCTTGGGGAGTTGCACCAAATGACATTTACCAAGCTGAACTAACTATAGCTTGATATAAAAATGTCAAATTATTTGACATTTGAAGAGACTTGACACTGTCACAATGGCCTGCAAATGTCCTCTCATTACATAATTTTCTATTCCACGTTTTGTGTATCTGAATAAATTAATAGACAGGACAAAAATTAACAGGTCATTGATCCATATTTCTGAGTGAAAAATGTAGACTTTAGCCCTTATCTGTCAGGAATTGACTGGATTGTGAAGTGTTTGTTATATGACAGGTGGTTTGAGTCAACGGGTTATGAAGAATAAGTGCAAAAAGAAATAAAGGTTGTTTCAGAAGCAAAGGGAGTTATTCACATGCACGCACCAATAAGTCCTGGAACATGTATTTAAAAAGTTTCATGTCAACGTTACTTTGACTACACTTTCGCATTAACCTGGAAAAGCTGCATTATTCCCAGTCTCACCTGTCGCCTCCAACTTTGTCTGGATCCTGAAGCTCAAAGCTGCCGTAGCTGTACACTCCGGATGCTGTGCTCACATGCTTACGAGGAACAAAACCCACGATCTGATCTGAGAATTGCTACAACAGAAATTTAAAAAAAGATAAGTTAGTTTTTGAAAGGGCATTTAAAACTCAAGTAAAGCACACATGAAGTTTTCTATTACCTTCCAGACAGAAAATGCAAAGCTGATATCAGGAACACTGACCAACGTGTCATCGTCTAGCATCAAAACAGCTGCCCAGATGAAAGACAGTGACGGTCAGTAGTCTCACAGACAAGCACACAATAAACACAGCTGTAATGACATA